AACTTAGTGCTGACAGTAAGTCCACACCGACTTCTAAAAGGCTGCACCGGGGTTCTTGCAAAACCGGTCTGCAACCTCTTCAAGCGCTCGATAGAGTCGTGCCAACTCCCTAGAGAATGGAAGTGAGCCATATCGTCATCCAACTTCGGGGGAGGAGACAGAAAAAGCCCTAGCAGCTACAGGACAATTGCTGCATTCCTCATAGTGTCGAAAGTATTGGAAAGCCTGGTAGCCACCCTCCAAACTGCTCAGCATAAATTGAGGAGTGGTCGCTCACGTGGCACCAACTTACTAGCCACCCGAGACAACTGGACGCTAAGCTGGGATGATGAAGAACCGGTACGTGCTGTTTTTCTCGACGTAGCCAAAGCATTTGAAAGTGTCCCACCCACGCCCTGCTTCACAAGATCATGTCAGCTGGTATAAGTGAACCCCTACTCTCTTGGTTCAAGGAGTACCTAGAAGGTAAGCAGTTTCGCACCAGGGTAAACAGAATAAGGTCAGAGTGGAGACCATCGACGCCAGGAGTATCTCGGGGAGCAATCCTAGGACCACTTGTGTTCCTCCTTTTTGTCAATGATCTGCCACACAAAGTATCCTCATCCACCCTCCTGTTCGCTGACGACGTTGAAATCTGGAGGCTGGTAAACAAAGAAGCTGACTGCACGGCACTACAAAAAGACTTGCAGCAACTCGACCCCTGATCATCGGAAAATGACGCGAGCTTCAACCTGAAAAAGCAAGTACGGCCAGATTCAAGTACATGTTGAGCAACCTTGATATCACCAGCGTCCATGGAGAAAGATTTGAGGCTCAACTTTTACGACACCCTGAACACCAGCCGAAACTACAGAGATATGGACACCAGAACGGACGCCATTTTGCATTTTCTGCGTAGACAGCTTGGCCCTCTCAGCCCAGAACTCTTCCTCACCATTTTCGAATCCTATGTGTTGCCGCATCCAGTGGTCTTGAATCCGGCGGCTCCCACTAACATTCAAGAGAGACCCGAATCTCCTTGAAAAAGAATGCAAAGAACTGCGACAAAATCAGCTGTGGAGCCAAGGAGGAAGGCCTATCCTGAAGGACTAAAACACCCAAACCTATTCACCTTGGGTCACCGCAGGAAGAGAGGTGACCTTATTATGGCCTACAAGGTCGCCCATCAGACAAACCACGCAAACAAATCAGTTTTACTCGAGACACAGCGGCCTTCACGAGGAAATCCCATTAGAATAGCACACTAGAGGGCCAATACCATACTCGGATCCAACTTTTTCTCCCTGAGAATACGCGCTTTATGGAATACCCTACCGCGACATATCGTCATAGCCCCCTCAATAGACTCATTCAAGAGACGGTTAGACAATTGTGTAACCCCGCATAGTCTACCACGGACATACTCAAAAAGTCACCAACCTCACTAGCCCACCCTCACCTCCCTGCTACCTACCACTCACTATCTCGCTCCTAATACACCCATACTACCTACCAATTATTTTACAGGAAATAGACCTACTCTATATATTCTCACCTTTTGGGCAACTCCCACATACTTTCCTATCTCTTTTATTTCCCTTCTTTGACCATCCTTTTTTATCTTTTGTCCTCTTTTCTTGTTTCGCTTCCTTCACTTCCTTCCATCTTTTCTCTTTTTCATTCTTTTCATCCTTTACTACTACCTTACTCTTTCAGGTGCCTACACAGACAGGAGTCACGACGGTCTCCCGAAATTCCTAGCAACCCGTAGCTCCCCAGTCACTCTGCAAGTCGCAACCTACTGACACACAAAACATCCACCTCACCGAAGCTAAAAGCAAGAAAACAGAGGGGATTACCTCGTCCACTGCGGGGGTGAAACTTAGGATATGTCCTGGTGCGAACTTGACAGACGCAAAGACCAATCACTAATTATTCGAACTTGTTATATACCCACGAATACGAGACCAAGGAAGAACACGATAGCGTAGTCGGATGGAATAGTATATTTGGATGGTTATGCCAAAATACCGATGCGTTCCAACTAACTGGCTAGAGAGTCGAATACGAGCAATGCAACGTAACACGACAGCGTGCCAAATGGCGAGGATGCTTGACCGGGTGCCTTCAGCTTAGCGAGTCCAGTTAAACTATCAAGGTCAGCATCAATGTCGAAAGTCGTCAAACCCTAGGCTATTGATTTTGGGGAAGTGTATGACGCTACAGATCACTCCCCCCCCTAGTGGGTTCGTGAGGACCCTAAGACGATACCAGCCGGAAGTAAAAACCCAGTGGTTTCTCCACTGGTAAAACTCTTCCGATGGGCTCACTGCGTGAGGTGGCCCCTGGTTGTCTGAACCTTATTCTAGGGTGTCGTGGCGATTAAATAAATAAAATACAATAAATGGAATTGTACGTCGGTCGCGGTCATCTGTTCCTTTCGACGTTCCGTCCAGTGCTCGTTGCACCTGGAATATAAATAAAAGTCTTTAATACCACGAAAACGTTGCGTAAAAATGGGAATTATTTATATATAAACATATCGAAAAATAAAAATTTACGCTTATCTTCGCCGGTTTTTTTATTTTTATTACATGGTAAATAAAAATTGATATAAAAAGGCAAAGTGTACGAGGGTTTGTATTGATGTATCGGGTAGCGGTCCGGAGTTGTTTTGGCGTTGAGCCTTCGGTAATCACCGGTTGGACGCCAGTCGTTGCTATCCTTTTTGGGAACCATGTGCAATGGCGATGCCCAAGGACTGTTCGACGGTCTGATAATGCCCAGGTCGAGCATGTGGTCGAATTCATTTTTCGCCGTTTGCAGCTTATCGGGGGCTAGACGGCGCGCTTTGGATGCCACAGGTGGACCTGTGGTTGTGACGTGATGCATAACATTGCTGGTTATGCACGGAAGAGTGTGCTTCGGTTGCTGTAACTCTGGATATTTCTCCAGAACTGCCTGGTAGGACGCGTCGTCTGATTGTTTAGTCCTAACGATGGCTAAACTCGGACCTACATAGGTGGTGCCGCCAATAGATAACTTTGTGCTGTTATCTATCAGTCGTCGACGGCGAGCATCTACGAGTAGATCGTAATGGTTTAGCAAATCTATGCCAATGATGGGCATAGAGACGTCTGCCAGGAGGAAAATCCAGTGGATAGGTTTGCGTAAACCTAAGTTGAGGTAGGCATACCGTCTCCCGAATGTCGCGATTGCCTTGCCGTTGGCTGCTTGAAGATTGAAGGATGGGTCAAGATGACGCTCCTTTGTCGTTGCTGGAAGAACGCTAACTTCTGCGCCGGTGTCGACGAGGTAGCGGACTTTCGTTTTAATATCCGTGACGTAGAGCAAACGGCTTTTTCCGCCGGCTACGGTTGCCGTGAGCACGTGCCGGCGTGACCGTTTCCCGAGTTTGGGTCCTTCTTAAAACGGCATGGTTTACGACATTTTCTGGCTTCATCCCCGTAAGTGTTATGAAACCAGCACCATTCAGGGTTTTCCACCCTGTTGGGTTTCGTTTTAGGGCTACCACGCGACTTGCTGCGATGCGCCAAGGTGCGTTTCTGTGAAGTGCTACGTGATCTAGGACTTCGAGATCGTAGCAACCGTCTCACAGAGTTGCACAACTTGGTCACCTCTGAATCCTGGCGCTCTGTTTTGTCGCAGATAGAATATACGTTGGAGACTGGTCTGCTGGATATCTCCAGTATTTTATCTGCTGAGGCTGCCAGGTCGTCGAGTGGGACTGACTGGAGTGTCACCAACACGGTTTGCACCGGTTGTGGTAGTTTCGAGAGAAATAGTTCTCGGAAGAAACCATCGTCAAATGTTCGTGCACCGATTACTTCTCGCATGCGTGCGAGGACTTCAGTAGCTGAGTGGCTGCCTAGCTCGATGTTACGAAACAATTCGTCTAGACGTTGGCGATCTGTGAGATCGCTTTTCTTCAAGAGTGCGGCCTTTAGAAGTGCATAAGGGTCACTTACTTCAGGATTAAACATGTTTGCTGTAACATACCTGTTTAATTCTCGCGGTAGTGAACGTATGACAGCAAGAAATCGAGATGAGGATCTGAGACACCCTGTTCTCGAAAATCTGCCTCGGCATACAGAAACCATGTTTCTGCATTGTCTGGCCAATATGGCACGAGTTGGATCGTGTTCGTAGTCGACTTAATACGAATAAGCTTGGGAGTGTGGTCGGACATGAGAAAGTGTAGTAAATGGATATATAAATGTTATCGAAATGAAAACAATAAACAAATATAAAATGGAACAGGCTCACCAATTCAATACTTGTTATTGGTCGGGATATGTGATCACGTCGGGCTCACCAATTTAGGATTTGTCCTGGTGCGAACTTGACAGACGCAAAGACCAATCACTAATTATTCGAACTTGTTATATACCCACGAATACGAGACCAAGGAAGAACACGATAGCGTAGTCGGATGGAATAGTATATTTGGATGGTTATGCCAAAATACCGATGCGTTCCAACTAACTGGCTAGAGAGTCGAATACGAGCAATGCAACGTAACACGACAGCGTGCCAAATGGCGAGGATGCTTGACCGGGTGCCTTCAGCTTAGCGAGTCCAGTTAAACTATCAAGGTCAGCATCAATGTCGAAAGTCGTCAAACCCTAGGCTATTGATTTTGGGGAAGTGTATGACGCTACAAACCGAACAACTCGAACCAAGCCCTAAGAACTAGGCGCGAGGAATCAAAAACTATCAATTTTCTACGCTCGCATTATCAGTATTGGATGGTGGACGAAGTCCAGCCAAGCAAAACGGACTGAACTTCAAGATATACACGAAAACGTCCAAAACTAATCGTTGTATTATATTCGCACTACTGATGTTTGATTGTATAAAATGTCACAAACTGAAACAGAAATAAGTTTTTTTGCCTATCCCCTCTGACAACCTTTGTTGAAAGGACTAATACCCAATCCGACAGTCTTCCGGCCTGGTTGGTTTCCATCGTTTGTTTATTCTTAGTATATTCGTAGGTCACAGAAGAGACGGCAACCACCAAGACCTCTGGAGTCAGTGGTCGTCACACAGGCGCTGACCAGTGAGTCAGGTGCATCAAGTGGAGAAGCCACCACTGCCACAGCCCCCACCCAAGTTAAAAACAAAACACGAAAAACGGAACAATGCCAGTCCTATGAGGACTGGCGAGGCTAAAATCAACCACGTAAACGCTCATCCCGCGAAAATACACATCCAGACCTCCCCTCTCATCAGGCACACTCTAATATGTATGTGCGGCAAAGTTAGGGGGCTAAGAGGGAAGGTAGCAGAAATGAGGACGCTGCGTGAAAATCAGCACTCCGACATCATATTCATCACCTAATCCTGGCTCTCGTCGGACATCTCCGATGAAGAGATGCATGTTACTGGCATGGAACTCTTCCGCAGAGACAGGGAACATAGAGCAGGAGGGGGAGTGGCTATCTACGTAAACTCCCGTTTAAAGGCAAGGATGGTTAGCGATACGGCCTTAACCCAGCTCCCAGAGTCTCTATGGTGCTACTTCACTCTCTTCTTTATTCTCTCTTCATTCCTTTACCACTGCCTTACTATTTTCTTTCAGGTACCTACACAGACAAGAGTCACGGCAATTCTCCAAACTTCTCAGCAACCCGTAGCTCCCTAATCACTCTACAAATTACAACCTACTAACCCACAAAACATCCAACTCACCGAAGCTAAAAGCAAGAAAGCAGAGGGATTTCCTCGTCCACTGCAGGAGTAAACCGAACAACTAGAACCAAGCCCTAAGAACTAGACGCGAGAGATAAAAAACTACCAGTTTTCTACGCTCGCACTATCAATATTGGATATTGGATATTGGAAGCGTTCAACGTCCTTCGGGACTTTCATTATAATGTCAGTTGTAGGTGAACGTAAAAAGACTCAGAAAGGTTCATTAAAAGAGAAAGTACTTCAGGTTTATGACAAACTATTTCAAGGACAAGATATAACCCAGGGCAGAGCAGAGTTTTGGGATGACTTCTTTTTATTGAAAGTAAATGCTCGATCATTTTTGTACGGACTTTCTATATCCAGCCTAATCTGAAGTGTTTGTCTGCACACTTTGAAAAGACAAGCGGTGAGGATCTTGTTAGATTAAAGGTATGTTTTATCCTTAAGTCAGTTTCTTTATTCTCTCATTCTTAAATTATATGAACTGCATTTTCTTACAGGTCTACGTATCTTAGTTACTCTGAAGTTACTAGGTGTAGTTAACTTTTGCTTATTGCTGATTCAACCATGTTTTATAGACTTTCTAGTGGTAACTTCGAAGATAGTTATAAGGGAAAAAAAGATGAGACATTGATACAAAGGTCTTTATTAAGGATATGAAATGGCAGTATAGAATCTCTCTTTTTCATAGTAAGATATCATGAGAAATTCATTCGTTGTGAATGGTCTCCATCTGACAGGTTGGAAAAGTCGGTTACCGTCTTAGTCCTGAATGTTTTGAAACTTCCGAGCGCTTGAAAGATGAAAACATGAAACATATATTGTTTGAAGTAAGCAGCAGTCCTCATTCTGAAGAAACCTGGCAAGATATTAAGTCCGCTGTAGAAACAGCGGTAAAGGAAATTCGTGGCCTACGCATGAAGGTTAGCAAACGTCATTGGATATCCACAACGTCATCCCGACTGGTGCGAATAGACTGACTCCAACTGGCGCTCACCATGATGAAGAGCGAAAGCGACTTAGACGTGAGTTGGCTGAGAGTCTTTGTGTCGACTGCGAGCAGTTCTAGGTAGCAAAAGCGAGAGAGATGGATAAAGCATCAGCGTTAGGTAACACTCGGCAACTATTTAGGCTTATTAGGAGTACCGGCAAGAAGAAGATGATGGTGAGTAAAAACAACCGGAAAGGATGGGACGCTGATAAACTCTTGGAATAGGCGGCTAAAACTTTGGGCAAAACACTTTGAAGCACAATTCAAATAGCCCACAGCAGTGCTTCAATTGTGCAACATCCAGCCTAAACCTGACTGGATGTCAGTCCTCCTCTCCTTGAAGTTCAGAAAGCTGTATGAAATCTGAAACAGCAGAACGTGACAGTGCACCATCGAAATTTTTCAAGGACGAAGGTGTGAAATTGCTGATTAAAATGACGGAGATACTAAGTAATGTATGAGAATCAGAGGTAGTGCCGTCAAACCAGTGTACTTCACTGATCATCCCAGTGTATAAGAGGGGAGACAGACCTTATGATAACCATAGGAGGATCCATTTAACCCATATCATGTCCAACGTCCTGTGGTCCATAGTTATCCGATGTCTAGTTGGAGCTCGAGAACAATAGATTCGAGAGAATCAGACAGGTCTCAGACATGTATGATGGAGTGTCGACCGGATATTCACTCTTTGACGGGTTCTGGGACACAGGCTCATGTAGCGGCGGTTGATACACGCCCTATTCCGTGACCTGAATACGGCATTTGACTCTGTCGACCGTGAGGTGTTTTGGCAGTGTCTGACTGTGGTGGGTACCAACCAGGTATGTGATGCTTATCCAACTTCTGTACTCGAACTCACGCAGCCGTGTCAGGGTTCGTGGAGAGTTGTCATGTGAGTTGACGACAACTAGTGGTGTCCGTCAGGGATGCTTACTATCACTATTGTTATTTAACTTCGTCATAGACGTAGTGACAGAAATAACCCTATATACATCCGGCCTCACAGAGATTGACCTATTCCCTGGAGGTCTTGTGGCTGACTTGGAGTATGCAGACGGTACTGTCCTGCTCGGTGAAGACACTGACAAAATGCACGGTCTTCTGAACGCGTTTAGCAGAAGTCTGAATATGTTTAGCATGCGTTTCATACCTATCAAATGTAGCATGATGCTCCAGGAGTGGTCTGAAACTACTCCCATTTTAAGAATAGGGAGTTAAGTGGTGGAATGTGTCGACCTCTTCACTTACTCGGGGAATTACATCAACCCAAACGGAGTGGTTGAAGAAAAAATCTCTGGTCGGATACAGAACGCCCGTTTGGCATTGGCCAGCTTGCATCATCTGTGGTGTCTACTGGTGATATATCTGACTACCTCTCAAGGGACAAGGACGCAGCGATGCAGTCCTTTCTGTCCCTTTGTATGGTTCTGAGGGACGAACGTTAAAAGTAGGCAACATGAGCCGGTTACAGGGTTCAGGTCATAGGTGTCTTAGTAGCATATATCTCGTTTGATTTAATCGTCGTGTAAGCAATATTGAAGTCAGTTGAAGGATACTAGGCAAGTCGATTGATGATGTGAACCTTTATCGGATGGGGTGGCTTGGGCATATTCTGTGCTTGCCGAGCCACCACCTACCTCGACGTGCAATGCTATGTCGATGTGGTTAGAATATGGTTCAGGGTGACCAAACAAAGACGTAGGACCAGTCGACTAAGTCTTGCTATTTGTCTAAACCTGGTGAGGACATGCAGACTACTTTGTTGGGACCATCAAATCAATAGGAATCAGTGGTTGAGGGCTCTTGGTGACATTGTTGAGACTTTGCGACTGGTTCAGTTGTATTCACTCCTTGACATCTAAAGTTTGGATATTTGCACTAACATTTATCTTGAAATTTTTTATCGTGTTGTACTTATTTATCGACTTTGATGCCCTCCTTTTTCTCTCCAACTGTTCTTTGTGTTCTACTGTGAAGTGTCGTCAATTTAAGTGGATACACTTGTTTGCGAGGTTCTACGTTAATTTTATCAGTGTTAGTAAGGTATAAGAGGATTAATTTTGGCATCAAGAGGTGGAGACAGGATTAAAGAGGATAAGTTATGTTTGTGTACTAATGGAATTGTGTAGGTGGTTTACACTTCTCGTCTACTCACACCATGGAAGGCTATTTCTTCTTGAGGTACCTGAGAAAAAAGGTTAGGGCTTGATCACAGAACCTATATGACATTAGCTTGAGGCCGATAAAACACTGTCTTTTTAGAAGTTTGGGATTTAAACTTTTTATTTTCAACTTCAAATATGAACCTAGATCGCCGGCACTGGTAGTGGGGAGTGTGTTGTTTTCAGGTTCAATCTTTTCCAACTGCTCCACTTTCCACCGGGAAGGCAATAGTAGGACAAGACTGCTGGTTATTCATTGGAAACACCTTACCGTTGTCACATCCTATCCAGTCAGCAGTATGACTTCGCTTTCGAACTTCCATCATAACGTAGCAATTTACACTGTAACGATGATTCTTTTTTTGTCTAACTACTGTTCAACAGATGTTTCTGGCATAGTATGACCTCAAGCAAACAAGCGTTCCAGCCAATATTGCGCGTTGGATCACTGTGGTATACAAACTCGACCACTACGCCAAGGTAGCAGATATGCATCGGGAGTAGGTCAAGCCATGAAGATTGGATGCTTTCAACTAGATGTTTTGTCATGAATTTGGGCAAAGTGAAAGCTATTAAGATCGAAAAGTGAGATCATTTTATTCCAAAGTTTATGGCATACGAACGGATAGACAAAATCAACGCGGAACCTCGTACTGAAGTGCATCACTTCAAGTTGCTACACTTGACAGTAGTATACCAAGGTTAAGTGGATATCAAAGTAGACAAAGGTGTATGCTAGGAGAAATTTAAAAATGAGGTTTAGTCAAAACGTTCAAGCTTTGTCAGACGTCGAAGAGTGAATACCATTTTGGCCAATTTTCAACCATTTTGCCGACTAGGTAGTCTGCACCTTCGTTCATGGCTCAGACCCACAGTCGGAGACTTCATGAACTAGTGTCATCTTGAGCCTTCTTCCAACCTTATCCAACTTCTCCTAGCATTGTAAATCGAAGTAGGTATACAAACAGGTCACGATCAATACCAGGTAAATCTGTGGTATTATTTGTGGCAGCTAGTTGTTCACAAACATAATAATAAAACTGTCAACACAATTTTCCAGCAGCAAACAGTTGCCTTCACCTGAAATTCAGTTATAATATCTGCTGGTTCTCTGAAGTTTCAAGTTATCAACCGAATTTATAGACAAAGTGACAGAGTCTTCATGCGTTCATCTCTAAAATCGAATTTCTTACCAAACAGACGAAAACCAGAAAAATCAATTAGTGCGCATACTTTGATGACTTTTTTCACTTGACAGTAGTCATAACTCTCGATTGTTTGACAAGTCCAGCGATGTCTGCGTAAATATTAATGGTGGAAGATAAACACATTTACCTGTTTAACTTCTTGACTATCAGCATAAAACAGTGTATTGATAGGAGAGTTAGTGAAATGTATACAGGAAAGACAAATGCAATAATTTTGAAACTATAATGACATCTTATTCGATTTAAACTTCTAACAAAAATACCACAGTAGAGTAGGGAAATTATGTTCAAAAACAAAGCAGAAGTCTAAAGTTAATAAGGTGAGTCTAAGATAAAAGTGATATACTGAAAATTTTATTACGAAATATGGGAAACAGTAGGTGGTGAAATTACTATCAACTGGTAACTATGCTGCTGCGATATTGTTATATACGCTTATTTGTTCCTTGTCCTAACTGTCCATGGTTGAGATTATGATCGAATACAGGTAATCAACAAATTTATTGACGTCCAGGGCAATCCACAACTAAAGAATAAAACTATAACGATGCTTTCAGCATCCATTGTGACATTGATGGAGATTATCATGAAGGTAATCTAGAAGTGTGATTGTTAGTAAATCGATCTGTTTTATTGGTTATGTAGTTTAAACGATACCTATGATAGACGAATGAAATTTCTTCCCCTACAAATTATACGAGCAAATAGACAGTGGATTTCCCGGAAAGCAATCTTATTTTCCTAGTGGGGCTGTGCCTCGTTGGTTTAGGGGTCTAACTTTCAGCCAGTGAGTCATGGGTCTGATCCCGCTCCACCTACCGAGGCTTGGCAGTCAGGTAGTATCATTTGCTCTCACACACCTTATGTATGGCTCCTTGCCTACTGCACGAATGTGCACAAAGATCTGAGTGCATTCCAGTCAATTTCACCAGTGTTTTTTCCCAAGAGCCATTCATTCTGTCCTAACGTATTTCTGTGAAACGTGATCGTTAAGACCAAAGAACCAAAACCTTGACCGATACAATCACCATTCATTTGTTGAATGCAGGATATAAAGTTTATGCCACCAAAAGATAATCCATACATAAAGATGTCTACCTTATCAGTCAAACACTTTTGACATGATCTTGGTAAACAGTATTCAGGTATGATCCACCTTTCGTTCTAGTAACTAAAGTTGTTTTATTTGTTACCTGTTGCACTAATTTAAGTTGGGTGATTTTCATGCCTATCTTTTCGTTTGCTGACGTAATCTTTGACTGATTCTATCTTCCTTTTAAAATCTCTCTTGGCACTGATAAAAATAAATCTCAATTTTAAGCATGGTTTGTAGGTTTTGTCTAATCTATCTATATCTTGTATTTCGTAGATTGTACATGCAACATCAGTACTATTTTGAAGTATGTTACTCATCTAATATCTATTATAATTTTAGGCTGTGTATGCGGGCAAAGCAAAGCCTTGAAATAAAATGAGTTCATTCTGAAGAAAAACATTTGTTCTTTGCAAATGTATTTATATGAATATCAATGATTGGTACATCAACATGCACATAGTTGTTGAGTTTAGCATCAATTTAACCCTGTAAAATGATAAGTGTTCGTTGAACAAAGGGTTGCTTTCAAAAATAATGGGATAGCGAACAGTCTTTGGTTTTTAAAGCAGTGTTAGACGTGAACTGAAGTAAAAGAATACCAACATTAATGCAGGTACAAGTAGGGTTAACGCTTGATCCATAACTTCACTGCTAGTTACCGCCATATGTGATCAGAGGTGGATCGCAGACGTCATCGATATATTTGAATCAGTGACCCACATACCAACAGATAGGTTCATTCATTTTTGCAAACTGATAACAGGAACGGTTAAAGAACTTGTAATAATACATATGTAGTTTTACTCTGTGACCACCATAAGCGAAACTATTGAACACTGGTTATAATCTTTTTAACTCCACCTTTCGTCCTTATTTTAAGTAAACTTACTCGTATCCTACGGTCATTTTGTACTCTGTTTTATCTTTGTACAATTTTTTCGTTTCATAAAACCAACCTATTTTATCCAGAGACAATCCCATTTTTGATTTGACAGCCTCAACTCAACAGACTCTTTATACAGTGCCTTCAAACAGCTCAGTATGATAAACATCGGATTCGAATTGCTAATTCAATCCAAACACTTGATTGTCTTCTGAGTAGTGTTCACAAATGCAGATCATCATCAACGTTAAATGAAGAACTAATTGAGATTTTACTGGGACCAGAACACATTAAGGATTTTATGGAGGTTAGTTTACCAAACTTTAAATATCTTTGCAAATATAAACAGCTGTCAGCGAAAATTTTTAGATTTTTTCGGTTTTTCATCTTGTCACAATAGTCCATGGAGTAATCTGTTTATTTAATACGTGTTCATATCATTATTTACTGATACTTGTAATTTCCCGTTGTTATTCTGGATCGAATTTATCGACCTCTATTAGCATATGAGCTCCTATGCAAATGCCTTGGTGTATCAGTTTGCCTAATCATCATCATCATCATTATCAACATAGGACCAGGCATTACTGCGTAACGGTCCGAGTTGCCACACCTCATATCAGCACATCAAGTAAAAAGGTAGTGAGGTGAAGGATGAAGATAAGTGAATGCAGTCAAAAGAAATATAAAGTATGAGAAGAAAGGAAAGAGGAGTGACAAAATAGTGAGATTCGGTATAGCGTTGTTAAGATGAGGATAATGTGTGTATACATCTGCGCCACTGACTTCGGTTCTGAGCCATATCACCTAGGGTCTCCAACCACTGGTTCCTCTTGTCCCGTGGACCCCAACCACCTAGTCTGCATCGTCCTACATGGCTTAAACCAACAGTCAGAGACTTCATACATTGGTGCCATGTTTTAGTCTGGCCACCTCGGGCCTTTTTCCAGCCTGAACCCACCTCAGCCAACATTGTGTGACGAGGCAATCGGTGACTAGGCATACGTAGTACGTGTCCCAACCATCTCAGTCGATGAAGGTTCACAACCTCGTCGACTGACTTACCTCTTCTCCCTAAAACTCTACACCTAACTTCTGCATTACTCACATGGTGACACCACGGAATACGTCCTATACTACGAAGGCAACGGTGGTCAAACACCTGAACCTTTTTGTATCTTCCACTTTCAATGGCCATGTTTCACAGCCATACAGTAGAACAGAGCGGACTGCTGTGCAGTACACGCGACCCTTAATAGACAAACGAATATCACGGCGGCGCCATAGGTGGCGCAAATTGGCAAAAGCCAATCGAGCCTTTTGTATCCGTGCAGAAATCTCATCGGCAACTAACCCACCGGGTTGATCCTACTTCCCAGGTAAGTGAAGTGGTCAACACACTCAACCACTTCACTCTCTATTGTTAACCGCGGTACCGCTGAAGACCAGTCCTGGAGCAAAAATTTGCATTTGGGTGGTGAAAATCGCATCCCAAACATTCTCAAATTCCCACTCAAAGTGTTCAGAAGACTCTGCATCTTGTCAGCGTCTTCACCTAACAGGACTATGTCATCTGCATATTCTAGATCTAAGGAAAATTCACCTGTGATCCGGTCAACGTCTTTGTAATTAGGTGACGAGAGGGAAACCTCCATAAGAATATCTATGATAAAATTAAATAAGAATGGGGATAGTGGGCATCCTTGACGGACACCACTTGATGAGTATAGCTCCCTGGACAACTCACCATAGGCTCTAACATGCCCACAAGTGTTCGAGTAGAGAGCTTTCAATAAGGTGATGTACTTACTAGGCACGCCTTTCAGTGACAGACACTGCCATAAGACTTCTCGATCAACGGAGTCAAATGCCGCCTTCAGGTCGAGAAATACAGCTATTGTCGGGCGTCTGTAAGCATGCCTATGTTCCAGGACCTGGCGCAGTGTGAATATTTGGTCGATACATCCACGGCCAGGTCTAAAGCCTGCCTGGTTTTCTCGGGCTTGCTGTTCCCGAGCTCCACTCAGGCGTCGGAGAATTATAGAACTTAGGATCTTAGACACTATGTTTGTCAGGCTGATTCCTCTGTGGTTATCACAAGAGGACTTCTCGCCTTTCTTGAAGACTGGGATGATGAGTGACTTAGACCAGTCGGAGGGGATCGTATTTGATTCCCATATACTGGCTAACACTTCCGTTAGCCTGACTAAGAGAACTCTACCACCATTCTTGTATACCTCAGCAGGTAGTCCGTCTGGTCCTGCTGCCCTTCCCCGTTTCAGGCTACCTACCGCTTTCTCAACTTCTTCTAGTGTTGGGGGACCTGTCTCTATGTCCCATTCAGGGTCCGACTGGATAGCGGGCAGCGCAATGGTGGCTGGAGGCCAGTTAAACTGTTCCTCAAAGTGTTCTGCCCATCGTCCCAGTCGCCTTCCCTGCGAGTGAATCGCCGATCCGTCCTTCTCCGCTATAACCTCACTAACTGTTGTTGACCATTTCCCCCCAGTCTCCTTAATAAGTCTAAATAACTGTCTACTGTTACCGATCGCCGCTGCCTTTTCCATCTCTTTAGCCTTTGCTGCCCACCACTGTTCACGATCGTTGCGCAGACTTTTCGTCAGTTATTTTTAAGTTGCGCTCGCTCTTCATTGTACTCAGAGCCTGCAGGGATGCATTCACGTGCATCCATTAGTTTGGAAGAAGCTGCTGATATCCACTGGCTCTTTTTAGCCATTATCTTGGAGTCGGCTACAGTCTCCAGTGCTGCTTTTACAGTAGACTGAAGATGGCACCAAGCTTCTTCTGGATGAGTGACAGTCTTTTGTTCCGATAACTGCCTAGCCAACTTCTCACTGAACACGGCTTTGGTGTTTTCGTTGTCCAGCAGAACTCGTAGTGGTTTTGTTGCCAAATTTTTTCTACGTCCATTGAGACGCAGGCATATACGTGCTCGGACCAACGCATGATCGCTGTCCAAACACGTACTCCAGAAGGAGCGGCAGTCTTCCACCGATCCTCTCCAGCGATGACTAATAGCAATGTGGTCTATCTGTGTCCATCGCTGAGTCGAGCTCGGTGGACGCCAGGTCAGACAGTGCCTTTCTTTATGTCTGAAATTTGTGCTGGCTAAAAATAGGCGGTTATCTGAGCATAGTTGTAATAGGCGATCACCGTTATCTGTACGTTCAGCTGGGATTCCGAAAGTGCCACCTAAGTGCCTTTCTGCCTCACTCAGTCTACCCACCTGTGCGTTGAGGTCACCTGCAACAACCACTACGTCCGAACGTTTGGCTTTCGAGAGGAGGTTAGACAGTTTATGGTAGAACTCGTCCTTCACTTCATCCGAACTACAGTCAGTGGGTGCGTAAGCAGAGATTACAAAGAGACAACGGCGAGTCTCACTATTCCTTTTAGTTCTCACTGTGCCGTTCAGCCTCATAGCGCAGAGGCGACTATCAACTGGGATCCAGTCTAGTAGTGAGTTTTCTGCCCTGGTGCTTAATGCTATACCTACACCTGCAAGACCACGAGAGCTAGCTATCGAATCTCCAGAAACTCGAAGGGTGAATTTTGTGGATTCACCAGATTGGTCAGGAGAGGTCAGGTGAATAACCACACTTGGGTCCTGTATGCGTGTCTCACAAACACAGCACACATCCATGCCCGAGTTGCTAGAGTCTTTGCCAACGAAGCCTGTTGGCCAATTTGACGGAGGGTGCGGACATTGAAGGCTCCAATATGTAATTTGGAGCGTGGTTTAAGGAGACCAGGGATGCTGTTCTGTGGACTCAGATCGTTGTCGAAGGCTGCAGAGGTAGGAGAAATTGAAGATGATGCAGCATCATTAATTAAGAGACGTGAAGGAAGATTAGAAGGTAATGATGGAGGAGGAGGATAGCAGTCAGAAGAAACTTGGGTGCTGACAGAGTTGTGAGGGCGGTTGACACTTCCCGGCTGCCCACACCGTGGAAGGCTATTTCTTCTTAAGGTACCTGAAAGAGATTTGTGTGACCGCAGAGCCCATCGGACATCTGCTTGAGGCCTGTCACACCCAGCCTTTTGAGTATGATTATTTTGAATTTTTGTATTTTTGGGGCCGGATAGTCGAAAGGAAACGACAAGTGAACCAACACCGCCGGCCCGGCAGACCGTGGGGCGTGGTGGAGTGTGTTATTTTTGGGGCCGACCTTTTCTAACCCCCCCTTCCACTGAGAAGGCAGCATCAGCATGGCACTGCTGGTCATCCAAGGGAAACACCTTACTGCTGTCACACCCCATCCAGCTAGCAGCAGTACGACTTCGCCCTCAGACCCCCATCATAGTGTAGCAATTTACACTATAACGGTAACTGCTTTTCGTCTAACCACTACCCAACAGACCTTTCTGGTATGGTAGGACCTCGAGGGAACAAGCGTTCCACCAGCATAGCTCGTTGGGTCATTGTGATATGCAAGCCCGACCACCACGTCAAGGTAGCAGCTATCGGTCGGGAGTTTGCTTAGTGGCCTAGTGAATAACGTGTTGGCGTTTAAAGCTTTGGATTCTGGGTTAGAGTTTCAGTGGGGATATCACTGACTGAGATGCAGGGACATAAAGCTGACGAGTCCTAAATGAGACTAAACACGCGTCTGGGATTCCACTGCCAGTCACTACCATGCACATTACAACATGTTCATTATCAAATATTGTTACCACTTTTTTCGCATGTTAAGTTTTTAATACATGAATAACTACAGTGTCAAGTAGGCTTCCCTGACTTTCGTCTACTATTTCCTGCTTAGGTAGTAAATTTGAGACCACTTTAAACTAGTTCGAGTACTTGGCTCTCACACAATAGATCATGCATTCGAACTCTAGATTTAGGTAATCAATTAATGCAATAAGTTGTATCATATAAGTTGTGCCTCATTATGTGACAGAGGAAACTGTACCGGGTTGTTACCTGTCACACAGTAGAGTTCTATCAAACGAACTAAAAAGAAAATAACGTTACCTGTAATACTTGTGACAGTTGCTCGATATGGAGTCAGTACATGTGCCACTTGGACAGAGTTCGGCCTATCCTCCTTGAGTAACTTTCCTCACCTTATGTTATATTTAATTCTACGACATACTGTATTTTAAAAACCTGCTAACAGACCTTCATTACAATGATTTTCACTTACATTACAAAAGTGGGTTCTGTAATAATTTTATTCAAGAGTGTTGGGGCACTCAATTTGCCACAATTTTTCAAACAGTTTAGTCAACCTATTAAGTAATCTCACATCCATCCACTTTAAACTAGTTCGAGTACTTGGCTCTCACACAATAGATCATGCATTCGAACTCTAGATTTAGATAATCAATTAATGCAATAAGTTGTATCATATAAGTTGTGCCTCATTATGTGACAGAGGAAACTGTACAGGGTTGTTACCTGTCACACAGTAGAGTTCTATCAAACGAACTAAAAAGAAAATAACGTTACCTGTAATACTTGTGACAGTTGCTCGATATGGAGTCAGTACATGTGCCACTTGGACAGAGTTCGGCCTATCCTCCTTGAGTAACTTTCCTCACCTTATGTTATATTTAATTCTACGACATACTGTATTTTAAAAACCTGCTAACAGACCTTCATTACAATGATTTTCACTTACATTACAAAAGTGGGTTCTGTAATAATTTTATTCAAGAGTGTTGGGGCACTCAATTTGCCACAATTTTTCAAACAGTTTAGTCAACCTATTAAGTAATCTCACATCCATCACTGAAGGAAGGTGATTTGCCTTAACTGAGTCCCTGATGACGATTTGCTATGTGAAGTTTTTTTGGTTACTCGCTTCACTCGACAAGTTCACGTTAACTGACCAAGTGGGATAATTTCTAGAAGTCCCTTATACATATTTGAACTGATTTTCGGAAGTGCTCCACGCAGTATTCTATGTGTCTTCGAAAATCGTTACTGAAGTACACCTAACTCAAATTTTTTTCATTGATATCACGACTTTCTTCTGGCATGTTAAGAAGCTGAGGAAGCTTTCAACAGTTGCCAGTTATAGCTGGTGTTCTCATCACTGTTGTATGCTGGACAGCAAAATATTGATAATTTTTGTGTTGTACCCTGTGGGTTACAAAACTTAACATGAAGTCTCATGGGCGTTGTTTAAACATATAAGTTTTCACGCAAAGGACTGGTGGACAGTAATGTATTCGGCAGTTACTATGATGAATAGGAAATAGCTTATTGAAGAATGTCCCGAAAAGGCTGATTGTTTAGTAAGTTACAGGCGGTCTTTTCCATGAATTTTAAAAGAAATGCGTCTACCGGTTAACTGGTTGTTTTTCTAGTTCACTGTGACACTTAGTTGCAGCACCACATACACCTAGTTTGCTAACGATCTTTTTGTTTACTAAAATACAAGATCAGTCTGGCATGCTGAAGCATAATCCAAATTCAATCATGCTCTAAGAGGAGTAGCAATCTTCTATACACTCTTCCCATAGGTAGTTGATTGTGGCAGAATCTCTTCGACCTCAGCCCTGATCGAAAGAGTGGAAGGTTGGAATCATTTTGGTGATGACTATAATTAGAGTTAGTGCCATCTAGAAATAGGTTGTCATCTGGGCAGATTTGCAAAACACTTCATTGTCCTATCTTTAAGCAGCTTACATTCATCCCCATCGAAATGTTTTTTGTATGATTTGATGTGCTCGATTCATGTATTCGTATTTTCCTTTAGTAATTTTACACACTTCATTCATAAGACAGCCTAAATAATGTTTCATTCTTTATGACTTTGATCTCCAATCCAAGACACCATAGATAAACAAGTTACTTGTTAATCTGACCGGACATTATAACCTAATAACACATAAGTACCCCAATCGAGTCGGTCTGCTTTAGCTCTGAGGAGTGACAGAATGACCCATGAATGCTATGCCTGTTGCCACAGAATGGAAAGATTCACAATATGCAAGAGATCAAGGAAACTCATTTGAGAGCGTTTATTCTACAAAACCTTTACTTTTTAGAAGAGAATACGCATAATGCCTTGCTGGTCCATAGTTAAGGGTAGTTAGTAATGTGCATGCCTGTTGGATTTGATTTGATTTTCTTGAATAAAACACTATTCCTTTTATTATGATGTGTAGATGAGAATATTCATCAACCTTGCGGAGAGAACTATTAATGTAACTACAATTCATAATATGAGTTCACTGTATATCATATGATATGATTTGTCATATGCTGATTCTCTAGATCACCAATCATATGAAATTATTTTCGCTTGTGGAAAGTAGACCATGAAAAGGTGACTGAAACTATGTTCAAATTCAGCAACAGTTAATCGAGTAAATTTTCAGGCAGCACCTTCATTGTAATTCATTAGTAGAATGGATACTTAGTATGCATGAATGACTTTCCATGAAGAGTGAACATGATTAAAAGGTATTGGATTTATCTTGGTGACTAGTAATTGAATCTAGGACGTGCATTTCGTTCTATTTGGGACTCATCAGCTTGACGTACATACACCCTAGTGATATTTCTCCCACCAAGGCCGAAACCCAACACCCATTGCTTCAAACGCCAAAGCACTATCCACTCGATCAATGGGGCACACTAGTCATATAATGCGATCCATAAGTGGTTCTTAAGGGCCTTCCTAATTTAAAACTACTGCTTTATGTATTAATTTTCGTTATCAGACGATATTTCTAACTTATTTCTACGTTTTCACTTATCTTTCACATATGAAATTATCCTACACCAAGTGCCTAATACGAGTAATTGGATAATTGTTTATTTTTACTTTAGAACTACATTTCGTTATGCGTTGAACTAGTCCGTGAAGACAGACCGGAACCACTTCGCAGTCTCATATTCAATTCAATGTTAACTTTTGCTTCAGTAAGCTATTCATCTAGCAATAAAGTGAATCATGATTTTGTTTTTATATCCATCAAACTACTGATTTTTTAACCTAAAGAAAACCAATCATGATTTTCACAGAGATCATTGAATTTACAAGTGGTCGCTTTTTTAGGTGGTTCACTGACTTCATTGATCTAGATAATCAACTCTAAACCATTGGGTTGTGTACTTAAACCCCGCTACTCCCATCTATGGAGATGTGAGCAGCTCGATGGTGTCATCAGCCCTCACATGGTGTAATGAGAGCTGCTTATGAAAATGTATATTAATAGTGTATATAACATCGTGATGTTAATTGATCCAGGCAAAAAAGAAAACAATATTGAATATAGATGTATAGTTTACAAACAGCCTTCATTTACTCCAATCACTTTGCAGTAATTCTTGTCTATTCAATTCACTTATTCAGAAAGAGGTGCTTATAACAGTTCTACGTTTCACGTTAAAATTTTTTCGAAACTCTCCTGAGGGAATGCAGCTCGATATGAGTATCAATGAGGTTTTAACATATAGATTATTCTTATCTAGCTGCCAGAATTTACTACTGTTTACTACTGTTTTTTTTGATGAAATCTTAAAAATTTTATCATATATGCTTTGGCTGTATCTGATTGTGAAGAGAGTACCGAACAAGTATATTATGCCTATCCAGGCTACAACCAGCGTTATCCGCCAAGGGATGCCCACTGTCGCCGTTCCAGTTTAACTTTCTTGTAAACTGAATAATAGACATAAGTTTAGATACTTCTGGCTTCACAGGAATCAATCTACACCCTGGAGATCATCTGGTTGATTTGGAGTGTGCAGACGATATTGCTCTTGTCTAATGGGACCACCATGTAAGTAATGTTGAGGTCAGACGTAGGGTCCTAGGCAAGAAACGCAAAACGATTGATAATGTCTAATCTTCATCAGCTGGGCTGGCTTAGACATGAACTGTGCGAGCCGAGCCGCCGCCTACCTTAACGTGCCATGCAAGCGGAAGCTGGACTAAGTTCGAGGGTGGTCAGACAGGACATGGTACCAGTCTATGAAGTCCCTGAATATTTGGTTTCAGGCATGTGAAGAGGATATAGACTATCAATTTGGGGTCCCCGAGACGATAAGAATGAGTGATTAATGACTCTTGGTGACAAGGCCGAAAATCAGTCACAATGACAGTTGTATTCACTCTTCCAAAGCTTGAATGTTTGCAATAACCTTTATCGTCAAATCCCTTCTCCTCCTATAAACCTTTGTCTACTATGTTGTCACTCGTTTTCTACCCACCTGTTGTTTGTGGCAAATTAGACCAATGCACACTGTGCGATGTTCTATTTTGATTTTGTCTGTCCGTTTTTTTACCTCCTTCCCTTATAGCGTCATGCAACTCAATGCTAGTGTTATTATCACCTCGTTTTCTCTTTTTATCAAACTTTCTGCCTGATGTGTGAAGTTCAGTGGCCTAGATCATTATTCATTTCGTTAAGCTAAGTTCTAGAGTGACCGAGGGAATGAGAAGAAGGAATACGCGAACGATAATAACGCGATGAGACATTTGGACTGAACACAAATAGCGTCTGTTCTTCTTCAGTACCTTATACCTTCTTGAGCCACGAAATTACATACAGACAAAAGACTGACCTGCAACTATGGGGAAGACACATTATTCGACAAAAAATCATCATCTGTATGCAGTTTTCTTGAACATATGAAACCACTAAGTCAGAAGCCAAATAAATTTGTCTGATTGGTCAAATGTGAGATAAAATTGCCCAATAAGTTTATTCTTGACCACACAGTGACATGAAACAAAAATTGATGGACAAAAGCTTCTACCTTATCGGGTCAGCCATGAAATGTTTTGTTGGTCTCTTATTTCACACATCTAATAGTTTATAATTCAAGAAGTCACTCCTATCCTAATTCGCTTTATGTTCTAGGTTACTTCATCTCTAGACAAGAATCCATTTGTAGCTAGTCTTCTGGACGTTCGCATTTATGATCTGGTAATGAATACACTGACTAACCCCCAGATGAGATATTATCATGGTGTTACTGCGTGTCGATTTCTTGGCCTGTTGTTACAATATACAAAGACTGGAGTGAGTTATGATTATGTATGTATAAATCTGATTTTGGTGTTTTCCATTTAAACTAATTAGCATTCGGTTACCATTAGTGTTTGGAAGTTTGGCACTCTAGATGCAATCATACGTAGTGGAGCTGTAGCTAAGTGGTTTAGGGGAACTACTCAACCAGTAGGTCACGCGTTCGAAACCCGCCCCAGGTAGCTAGGTTTGGGCAGTCAGACAGTAGTACTATTAGCCCTCATACAACTGGTGTCGCTTATAACCCGCAATTGTACCAGTATACACTATTTGAAGTGTCAAATGTGAATGCATTTCATCAGAAACTTTTCACTTGTCTTTGTCAGAGTACTTTTTGTATGTGGTCGTAGTTCAACTTAATAAAATATCTTTATCCTGTACTATGATTCACTTCACACTTTTGTTACCCCCTACCAGTTATTCTTATTTTAGACTGGAAAGCTGTTGTAAACTTCAGTATCGAAGGGTTCAAATATTATTTGGAGGAATCTTTTCACTTTTATGTGGTTTGAGAGCATCAACCAGGTGATCTACTTACTGTGAGTGGAGCTGTGGCTCTTTGACTTAGGGAGATGACTTTCAAGCAATGGGTTGCGGGTTCGAACTCTGCTCCAAAAACCAAGCTTTGGACTGCCCAGGTAGCATAATTATCCCTCACATAAATAAATAGGTGTGACTCATGTATGAATGTGCATGTGGTTGTTGAGTGCTTTTCGTTCTTTCGTACGGCTGAGTAGTTTTTTTTTTTAACTGCCCGACTGTGGTGTCAAAGGGAATTCTGTTGGAAACCACCACACAGCCAAGATCACAAGGTGTGATCTTTGACACAAAAGTGTCATGAACTAACGAAACGTACTAGTGAGAAACACGAGTAGTTAGAAAACACTCAGGTTGCTCCATAAATTTTGCTTGACCAGATCAGAGTTTTGCTTATTTTTGGGTCAAGCTCTGTTGTGTTTTTTAAACTTAAGAGTTTCTTTCTCATCAGTGCTTATTACCCAGTACTCAATCTGTTTCATGACCATTACATCTAGTGAAAATAAGGTAATAATATTTAGTTTTGTGCAGCTGTGTATGTATGTGTGCAAAATTTAAAGCCTAGTGAAAACAAATTAACCAAACGGTCAATTCTTAGACTGTATTGCTGATAAATTCTGTAAGTAACCTTAAAACGCTTGCTTTTTCTGCTGAAATTGTGTGTTTATTTTTGCCTTAAGTCTGTCTGTGTTTACCATGGTTAATAAATTGAAGTAAATGTTTACAATAAAACAAAAGTATTATAGTATAAAATGTATACAGTATCAATTCTACAGTGATTTACATCCTGCTTTTGGCTTATCTAACATGTAAATATGAGACGTTATCTACAAAGGCATGTTTTATCTATTCATACTGATATTTTATCTGTGATCAGATCATTAGGACACAAGAAAAAATTTTTACTTCCAGATTAAATTTGTTTATTTGATCTATGACACACAGTAACACAGTATTATTCACTTGATGTATCGAGCATAAATTATCATTGCTCATAATCATATCTCGATGTGTGTTATCACATTACTTTCGACATCTGAGTTTTATACTCCTGTTATCACTTACTCTCTGTTTCTACTGGTAGTAACATTTTCCATATCTCTGGTATAAGTGTTGGATCATTTCTATTACATGTGTATTACATGTATCGATTCGATAGACAAAGATTCAGCAATCTCTTCCTCTCTCAACCTAGCTAGTTATATTGAACTTCAGTTCCCTGTGTAGGAAATAACAAATGAACCAACACCGCCGGCTCGGCAGACCCTGGCGTATGGTGGAGTGTGTTATTTTTGGGCTGGCCTTTCTACCCCCCCCCGTTACACTGAGAAGTCACCATCACCATGTCACTGCTGGTCATCCAAGGGAAACACCCTACTACTGTCACACCCCATCCAGTCAGCAGCAGTACGACTTCGCCCTCAGACACCCCATCGTAGTGTAGTAATTAACACCAAGACGGTAACTGCTTTTCGTCTAACCACTATCCAACAGACCTTTCTGGTATGGTAGGACCTCGAGGGAACAAGTGTTCCACCAGCATAGCTCGTTGGGTCACTGCGATGTGCACGCCCGACCACCCCATCAAGGTAGCAGCTATCGGTCGGGTAGACTAGGTGGTCGGGGTCCGCGGTACAAGCGGAACCAGTGGTTGGAGACTCTAGGGGATATGGCTCGGAACGGATGTCAGTGTCGCAGATGTATACACAGATTATCCTTATCTTAACGACGCTATACCGAATCTCACCATTTTGTCATTCTTCCTTTCTTTCTTCTCGTACTTTATATTTCTTTTGACTGCATTCACTTATCTTCATCCTTCATCTCATTACCTTTCTAGTTGATGTAGTGATATGAGCTGTGGCAACTGGGACCGTTATGTAGTAATGCCTGGTCCTATGTTGATATTGATGATGATGATGATCCTTCTTTAGGTCCTTACACTGACTATTCAGTTTTCTAGCTCTATCGTCTAGACATTGGATGAGATGACTTGAAGTCTAGATGCCCGTTGGAATGTGTCGATTTTCTGTAGACGGTAGTATCCAAACCGCCATCTGTCCTTCGTTTTATCCTGCAACCCAACATAGGTAATTCTCCTTGTTCATTTTCTACCTCATCAGTGAATTGGATTGTGTCTACTACTAAGGAGTTTATATGTGTGAGAAAATTGTCAATATGTTCCAATTTCAACACGGTGTGTCATCCACATCTCGGCATCACATTTTAGGTGCAGGATTAAACGTTTGTAAGGCCATATCTTCCCAACTATCCATAAATATAACTGGTACAATTGGTGATATCGGCAATCCCATTGCTATTCCTCCTATTTGTCTGTATATTTTTTCCTGATACTTGAAGACTGTGGAGGTCAGATACAACTGTACGCCTAATTTGATATCAACCGATATCTTGGTTTTGCGATTGAGTGAGTTCTGAGTCAATATTTAGTTGATTTCTGACTGCATTCAGTGCCACATATTGATTAGTATTTTAGTATCAAGACTTGTTACATCGAAAGTAACAATTTTTTTCATCCTCTTCTTGTAAGAATTTACTAGTCTGGGATTTGAGCGGTTCCTAATAGGTCATAATATCGATGCTAAGTACTTGACTAGTTCATATGTTGGGATATTTTTGAAGTCAACTATGGGTCTAATGGTATAATCTGGTTTATGAACCTTAATGGTGCCATAAATTCTGCTGGGATTATTAGTTTTAGGGATTAAATTAAACCATTTAAACTCACCTAGAGATGGCTTCAGCCGGCGTATCAGATCGGCTGTAGATTTCTTAATTTTATTCATGTCCATATCTCAGTGTTTCTTGATCTCTTCATATAGTCCTGTTTGGATATGTTCGTTAATTTTGTTGAGGTTATCCACTTTGTCCATAACTACAGTTCAATTGCCTTTATCAGACTTAACAATTGCAAAATGAGCGAATACTGCCAAAAACCGCTTCCAACGCTGATATAACTTGTTATCTTAATGTTAACTCAAATAAATGTAAAACCGTCTGGTCATGAAGCCTTCAAAATTGCTCTGTCATGCAGTCACTGTACTAAGGAAATGTAGATCTCCTGGTTAAATTGTCAATAAATACGGACTCGAATGATTCAAGACTCTAAGTGATATGGGTCAGAGTCGATTGCATTGGTGCTGATACATTCAGATGTTTTCTTCGACTTAATCCTCGTCATTTACTTAACCCCCCCGCAATTCTTCTTTTCCAATGAATTTCTGTAACTTTTAACTGCATTGCTTCTATTTCTCCGTTTATGAAAGTCATGATACCGTATGCTTTAATGCGCTATTGTCAAATTAAACTGCTATCCAGGAATCCAAGGTCCTATATGGTAGTAATAACTTACTAAAACTCAATTCATAGTTAAATATCACCTTACTGTGTTCAGGTTGGTATTCATCATGGACTGACATTAGTTGGAGAACTATTGGCAACCTAGAGGCACTGGACAGCTGTTTCGTCATAGCATAGAACTCTTCAACAGTGCGCACACGTGACGCTCCCTCACCAGTGATCGAACGCAGGACTTTCAGGTTCCTCGGCCAGCACGTTACCACTAAACCACTGGGTCGAAACCCAATGGTGCATGCTAGATAATGTTATAACGGTTTTCATACTATCGTTCGATCACTTCTTGTATTTTTTTTCTTTTTCACAGTCAATGAATTCATTTCAAACGCTTATTCATCAAACAGAAGACGAACTATTATTAAATGTAGGTTAATGATTTTTAAAATAATAATAATGGCTTTATTCTGAAAGCTATTTCGGGAATACTCTACAGCATTTTCAACACTTCATATAACATCAATTGGATAGAGATAGTGTACATGTATACATAGCGAAATGAAATAAGTAGAAATTACATGAGGAAAAGATAAGAATATTCACTTTGTAAAAAGTAACACGCTCATCTTCAGTTAGTTTGCTTTCAAAAACAGAAGTTGACTAGTCAGTTCATTTCTAATACTTTCTTCATCACACAGCAGACAAGCTAAACACCTATGGTATTGTAGAGTTATTATATTTTGTAGAGCACGTGCATAGAGTTTTATATACTTGCTCCTCGTCCTTCCAGATGACCGACACGCAGAGAGCTTTAAGTGAAGAGGATGCTGGTCATCTGATAAAATAATTCCTACCAGATGTTTACATGAGTTAATGTGTTCGTCCACAACAGTTTTAACTAGAAGGTTCAGAGGTACACCACTGGTTCTGCTGACAGTCTTCAAAGTTCTATGTAATAAACCATAGTCTTTTCTCACCAACCGGGGAAAAAATAAAGGAGAACAGGCAAGATGCAAGGGTTTATAAAACATAAGAGGAGAGACTGAGTTATACCACATACTCTCAGCTTCCTAATATAGGTTAGGTGGAAAATTCTTTTGGAAATTAGTGAGATATGGGGAGACCAGGAAGGGTCCGAAGAAAGACACACACCAAGACAAATCACATTTGTAACATTCTCTAATGTGCAACTATCAATAGAACAGGAATCGTCAGAACTAAGCAGTTTACACAGGTTATGTTCACGTTTAAAACTAAAGTTTATGGTCTGACATTTTGAAGAATTAAGCATAAAATCATTCTTGGAGGACCATCGTGATATAAGAGAATGGTGGCATCCAAAGTGCTTCTTCCGCTTCTATATACAAATTGATTAGGGTCTTCGAAAGCCTTCAGTGAGGGCTCGAGCACAGGTATTACAAGCTTCTCCACTATTTTTAAGAACGGAGAGGTAACTGCAATCGGACGGTATTTTGTACATCAGCCTGGAGTTCTAGACTTAGGTATGGGGACTGTCTTAATATCTTTCCAGGCAACTGGTATGGTGTTTTCTGGAAACGATTTATTGAACATGTTAGCTAGTGGATGGCATAAAATAGCACACTTGGTGGATACGAAGCTTGACATACCATCTGGATTCGAACTTTGCGAAGGGTTCAGGGATTTCAGACATTTGAAAACATCTTTCGTGGTGAACCCTGAACAACGTTCTTTATTGAACATAGGTAGACACAGTGAGATGGGACAAGTGGGTTTACCTATAAACGGTTTGTTCAAAACGCAGATTGAGTTATAGAACAAAATACATTATAATTTTATAGGTTGAATAATTTTAAACTGTAAACAGGGTTTAAATATAGGATTTGTTATTGATTGAACTGTATTTTAGACAGCACTGTTGGCTTTGGAACCTCTTAAATGATAATCTTATTCGATCTTTTACTTTTTTATCACATTCAACTACTTTCTATTTTGATATTACCAAATAATTGTTAGCTAGTTTAAGACGAGACCGGGATAGTCAAATAACTATTTGCTCATCTTTCAGATGGGCTATTGAGTTACATTTAGGTCGAACAGCTACTATCGCCAACCCCTAAGTTGGTTGGGTGTGAAAACATATTTGCTGGCCAACTGACTGAACGTAATCTGGGTTTTTCTACGACAGAACAAGTACTCACACATAAGAGGTCTGAGAAAGATGGAATTATGATGGATATTAAAGAGTGAGTCAGTGTTAGTATACAGATCATCTGGTCGCCAGTAATTGTAAGGCTGCATTTCTGTCCATTTCGTTGTCTATATGTGCATACCATCAGTTCAAGTCAGATTCAGTTCAGTCCAGTCGAATCGTGAAGCCTATTAAAATAGTTCTTGGTCTAAAAGTGGTGCACTTTGCTAGGGTACAACAAAACTAATGTAATCGGTCATTTGAAGAAGTAAACAGTGCAGTATAAATACGGTTAGAATGACAATACATTTAATTCGTAAATGAAGGAAAGGTTCCATTTTTTTAAAGGTGTGGGATCAAGACATCTGGTGATTCTACCTGTATTTCTGCACTCGCTGTAGGCTACCTTCATGATGTTACAGCATATCTTTCTTTGACTTATCTAACATTGTTTCACCACATCTCTATCCTGCTATAAGAATAAAAGAAATAAAAAACCCAGCTCAGTCTGCTTCAGATTTAGATACTATTTTGTGTGCCATATTTATTATATGACAGCTTATGATATCTGATATCTGGTTACTCAGCCAGAGGTTGGTGGAGTGGAATCTAAACCTTGAACCGAGTGCTTGCTTAAGACAATGAATGAACCACTTCTCAGTCAGTGAACGATTGCCACTCTTTTTTTCGTCCGTAATATATAATTTGCTTGTCTGTCGAATAAGCAAGAGTGACTGATTGATACAGCTCAAATTCGTCCTATATGACCAAAGTTTGATTTAACTATTACAATTTTATGTGTTCACCAGCGTATGCTGACTTGAAATTGGTTGAGCTACTCTTCAGGTGTGGGATTAAGTTATCGGCTGTTATGGGTTGTTATCTCAATCTCCGAAAGGTTAATATATGTCATCAGAATCATGCAACTGCACGTCTTGATGACGGAAATAATTCAAATTCAACGTAATTTACTCATTGAGACAGAGACATATAAACAAAAAAATCAAGTAGAACCTCTCACACAAATGCATCAGTTCAAGTGGCTACACTTTTCAGTGTTCTAAAAGGAACAGGTGGATAAAAAGACCGATATCAAAGCAGACAAAGTTGTGTGAGAGGATAAGAAATTTGAAGATATTCAATCTTTGGAAGATGTCACAGAATGAATACACCTGTCATTGTGGCCGTTTTTCAGCCAAGCCACCAAAAGTCCTCAAACATTGATTCTTTTCGTCTCGGGGACCCCACCCAGGTAGTTTATATTTTTGGACACGGCTCAAACCAACCGTCAGGGACCTGATAAACTGGCGCCACGTCTTCTGATCAGTTTGAATCCTCTTTCAACATATTGCAACTTCGCCTAGCATGGGACGTGAAGGTAGGGCATAGATCGGCATGCGCAACACATATCCAAGTAATCTCAGACGACTGAAGTTTACAACCTCATCAATCGACTTGGTTGTCTTGTCTAATACCCTTTATCTTACCTCATCATTGTTCACACGGGATTCTACCCTACCTGAGCAATGCTGCGTAGTCACCTGTGGTCCAAAACCCTGTAATAGCTTCATGTCTCCTACTTTTAACGACCATGTGTCACAGCCGTATAACAGGAAAGAACGAAAGGCAGCGCAGTATACACTCATCCTTTGATAGATAGTCGGATGTTTTGCCAGTTGGCACCACATTTGACACAAGTCTGCAAATACCAAACAGGCCCTCTATATCCGAGCAACTATTCCTTCCAGACTGACACAACTCTCCAATGATATTAGAAGCAAAAACTAGGCAATTTATCCCAGTTGCTGACTTTGAGTACTAAAGTACTTCATTGTAAGAAGAGCCGGAATGGATTCAGAAACTAATGAGGTATTTCAGTCCATTCTATTAGTCGAATAATTATTGACTTCTGAACCAAGAAAGAACCGATCCAATTGATTGACATGATGGTTGATGCAGAAACCGTTAACATCTAAACTAATCGAGTATCTGGGGCTCCATTCAACTCGAAAATCTTATTGAAATCAACTTTTTTGGTCATCAATTCAGAGAATTTTGATGTCTTACTCCTTCATCCGATCTCAGCATCATTAAATTCAGGGGATTTTAGGATTAGATGAATCTCTAATCAACACAAGTTGAATCACAGCAATAAAAGGTGAAAATTATAACATAATGTTGTTTCTGTGCGTATATAATAGGCACGCCTTAATAATAACTAGCTTGTGTACTAAATGCCACCGACTTCAAGCCCCGAACAAAAATAGAGAGAAGATTAGTCTGGATGGGAAAGTTTATTGCCTCCGAGATAGTGCCGAATAATCTTAAACACATGTGTATGTATACACGAAATGTGACATTGTCGAGAATTCGGAGCATTAACACAGTAAAAGTAATTCGCGATCAATAAGAATTACCGTGAAAAGGGGAGGAATAAACTGCTGTTTATGACCTAAAAAAAGAGCGAAAAGGATAAGTTAAAATGTACAGATTAATAAATAGTGTTTTATGGAAATGCGGAGCCTCCTAACACCATAGTCATCTTATTTCGTTCTTCACATCATCCATCAGTTTTTCGTTATACAGAACTGTTAACTAACTATCCGATATCGTAATAGTTGGATTATTCTTCAGTTACCTAAACCCAGTCACCGACATTTTTTTGTTGTTGATTTTCATACTGACTAAAAATAGTAAACCAAAAAAGTATCATACAAGTTGTACGATTTTGAGCTGGTGGGTTATTATCAAGTTTATTTTTAAAATGTCTTTTGAGTGCACTTCTTAAACGTGTTGAATCCCTCTTTTTGATATTTTTTTTTTTGATGGACAAAAACATTCTACTGATAATGATTCACGATTTTTATTTTCTATTTCTTTTCAACTTTAGAGTATACTCTCCACTGTTGCTCTTGCATTATCTGAGTTTAACTTGTAAGTTTTTTTCGATAAGTATGAATGTTAATGAAGTTGTTGTTCACTAATACTTTATTTTTATTCATCTAGATCTAGCTAGATGTGATATATCAATGAAAGCGAGTGCAAACTGAAAGGAGTTCTTAATATCGACGATTTACTCAAGCCATTCAAAAATATTCGATGAAATATCATAATGGATTGACATCAAATAAAGAAAGATTGGAAACTTGGGAGCACTGGATGGCTCTTTGATCCTAGTATGGGACTACCCAGCCATGAGCGCCCATGGTCCCCGCCAGGAATCGAAGCAAGGACTTTCAGGTTCCGTGGCCAGCACGTCAACATTGAGCCACTGGGTCGGAATCCAATGGTCCTTATTTCCAAATTCTGTCAGTTCACGACATAGCGCGACCATCATCCAATGACATCGTTGAATATTTTTCCTCACGTCCACTAGGCTCGCCCTATTGGTCACGACTTCTCATTGGAACTCTAGGAATCACTTCTCGAAGCTAGTCACCAATGAGCACTAGATTAATTCAATTTAAGGGTTTGTGGGGGTTTATTGATTTCAAGTTGATCTCTGGTGGGGTCATGGTTGCACACTGCTGAGGAATCCCATACCTGGACGAAACAGTTACCCAGTGCTCCCAGGTTTCCAATGTTTCTTCAACTGATGTCAGTCCATGATGAATACCAACTTGAAACCAATAAATCCCAACAAACCCATAAATCAAAATAGCATACAACCATAGTAATTCAATATGGAAGTTTGTGGGGATTTTATCGATTCCAAGTTGGTATTCATTATGGATCGATATAAATTGGAGAAATATTGAAAGACTTGGAATACTGAACTGCTGTTTTGTCCAAGTGTGGGACTCCTTAGTTGTGCGCACGCTTGACTCCGCACCTCCATGGATCGAACCCAGAGGATATTCGTGCTTCGCGGCGAGCACATTACCATTGAGCCACTGGGTCAGAATCCAATGGTTCACATTTTCCTACTTTTGTGTCAGTTCGCTTAATCGTGTGACCTTTATCCAATGTCATTGTTGAGTATTTTATCGCCACATCTGACTTGGTTTCCTCCACCGATCGCAGCTGTTCGTTGGATCTTCTTTTCGTGATGAATACCAACCTAAGATAAATCAATCCCTACAAACGTCCACATTGAATTACTATCCACTTCTCATAAATGACTTTCTTCAAGATGAGATTTCTCGAAGTCATAGTGAAAGGTCGTGACCGGTAGAGCGAACCAAGTAGTCTGATGAGAGGACAGGTAATAAACGACGGTATTGGATAAAAGTCACGCTATTTTACGAAGTGACAAAAGTAGGAAAATACGAACCATCGGATTCTGATCCAGTAACTCAACGCTAACATGCTCACCGTAGAATCTGGGTGTCATGGGTTCTATCTCTGGTGAGGTCATGGGTGTGAACTACTGGGGAGATCCATACTAGGATAGAACGAGTATCCCACGCTCCTAGACTTTAAATGGTTTTTCAACTGATGTCATTCCGTAATAAATGGTAACTTTAAAGCCATAGTGTTATGACTGTTGCTTTAATCTAAATAATGTGCATGTGAGATATGCACATAAATTAGTCCTATGGTAAAACTCACCCATCGAACATACGTTCACGTGAAACGGTTGTACTGCGCTAAACTTCAGTGAATTAACTAGTTTAAGAGTCATTTAGTTATCTACCAATCCATAATGTTCAGTGTTTGTGTTCTTTTATTTTAATGTCTGCTTGTATTTTATGTTGATTCCAAATATTTACGCTTCATTGCTAGACTAGGTTTATTGTATCAGGTTGTAGTAGCTTGTTGACTTAGAAGATGGATGGTAAATTTATCCGTGATTCGGTAGATTTTTTCTTTGAATCTCAGTTGATTCATAACTGCTTGATAGTGGTATGCAATATACTGTTGGATAATGTTTGCAGATTCATTGAATTATATTCACCAAAGCCCGACTTATCACTGATAAAAACGTGAAATAAACAAAGGGGCAAACAGAGACAGTGAACGTAGAATCTCGCATATGGAAGTGTATCGGTTCAAATTGCCATACTTTACAGTAGTCTGTAAAGAACAGTGGGGCTAGAAAAATACCAGCGGTGGGGGAACTTCATGAACTTGTACCACAAATTTGTCCGAACACTCTTAACACTCTTCCAGTTTAATCTAACTTTTCCTAGCATTCCATACCAAGGGATAGGCGGTGACAGCCGTGGTACATCAAATTTAGTCTCATAACTATTAAAACATTTGAACAGCTTCTATCTCTGTGTAAAAGAGGTTGAATATACTATTTCAATGGAATTTGATGCAATACGTAAATCTCAAATAATTCCAAATTATCATTAGTTAATTATTGATCAAACAAACCAAAGAATTAACTATTAAATATCTTTATCTCAAGGATTCCCATTTACATTCTAGTCAAATCAAACATTGTGAATCACCTTTTGTATATTCATTTAATCACCAACATCATTTTTAATTCGCTTTCTATCATTAACTATTCTATATTAGATAGTTCAATTTTACCTTTAATCACATTGACCTTAAACAAGTATAGAGGCTTTTTAAACCATCTTGATCTGAATAATCAACTCATTGAGTTGATTTCATTGTTTTTCAATTATATATATATACGTATATGTATAGGTCATGAACAAGACAAACGAAACCTACTCGGCAACTTTGCGCACATTCGTATAGTAGGCAATGAGCCACACTTGTTGTGTGAGGGCTAATAAGGTATTACTTGCCCGCTTAAACTTCGGTTGGTGGGGCCTTGTTCGAACTCGTGACTCAGTAGTTGTTAGTCATCTCCCCAAACCACTGAGCCACAACCTAATGAATATATGTGGGTCGCAGAGGGGTTATCCATATCGTTTTAACATCTGTGCTTGATCGTGGTATTATTGTTACGTTTCTAATGAATAACTATCTTCACTTGTTTGCTTTTCATGTCATATAGAAAATTTGGTCAACAACGTGACAATTCTGGTGGTATTCTCTCCTCGTTTTCATCGTTTGTAAGTCCGATTCATCTTTATTCTGGGATAAATCTTTAGTGTAGTTGGGATGGTGTACATAAATTTAGTTATGAATTCGACATCTTAGGACTGTTGCTAGTTTAATTGTTTTGCCTAAATACTTTCAACACTCAACTCTTCAACATTTGTCATTTAGTCTACACTTGAAACTCCATGTATGTTGGTTAGGGCAACAGTTAACTTAGTCACACTCTTTTAAAGTGTTGCCGATGAAGGTGTTTGGCGTTTTGGTCAAAGAAATTTCGAATTAGTATGTTGGTACGCGGTTATAGTTATGAAACTACTCTGTTTCATTAAATACGTAGAAGGATGTGTCTAGTCACCTCTATCCTCAAAGTGAAACGGTGCCATGTTGTTTAGGTTGAATGCCTTATTTCATTTCAGTCCTAGGAGTTCCTTCTGGGCCCTTACTTTGTTAGATTAGCTGATATTCCCTTTGTAGAAAAATTTTAGAAGCCACTGTTCGTGCTAACTGCCTAAATGAATCAACGAGTGCTAAAAAGTTGCGAAGCGTTTGCAAGAAACCAGTACTTTTTAGTGGGATCATAGTCCACAAGTGGCTTCGCACACTATTTTATTAACCTTTTATAAGTGAAATCAATGCTGATCTAAACTTTCTGAAGGGTAAGTAATTAGTCTTGAAACCAGTGTGGTTTAATTTCTAGCTGTAGTACTGTAGTGGGCTTTGCTGATCAGAATGCATGCTCTTAACCAGATTGATTCTCTGAAATCATGCGTAACTGAGTTGATGAAAAACGTTGCAGAAAGATTCCATGCTGTTGAAGATCTCCCACACCACCTGAAACAGCCATTCTTGGAATATGTGAATCAAATTGTCAGCAAAAGGAAGGAGAAGAAAAGAATTCACCTTATTCAAAGCTTGGAGAACCGGACTCCGGAAGTGAGATTCCCTCCAAATCCTGGTCGGTATGTTCATAATTTTTCCAATGTTGATCTTGACATGGTAACACTACAAGCATTATCTCTGGGTCCTAAGTTTTGTGACAGTCATATTACACCTAACAGAATAAACACTCAAGTCCAGTTTGAAAATTTATACTCACAGACAGAAGGCTTATCACCTTCTTCAAGTGAGGAGGTAGAAAGATTCAAGTCTACTCTGGTTGACTGTTGCTACAAATTTATGAATAGTAAACAGAATGCTAGAAGCATCTTGACTAGAAAACATAGAGAAGCCTTACGTAAACTCCGAATGAATGAGGATCTGCTGATCACCAGGCCGGATAAAGGCTCAGGGGTGGTTATTATGAACAAAGCCGAATACCTAGATAAAATGAACAGACTTCTCAGTGATGACAGTAAATTTCAGAAACTACCAACCAATACTGACATGACAGAGAAGACGGAGAGGCAATTATCCGAATCCTTAAAAAAGCTGAAGCAGCAAGGCTTCATTTCACAAAATGAGTATGAAACACTCAGACCTACTGGCACAGTAACACCGAGGTTGTATGGTTTACCAAAGGTGCATAAGAATGGATTACCACTCCGACCGATTCTCGACATGTCAAACTCTCCATACCATGCGACGGCGAAATGGCTAGTACAACTCTTGAAACCATTGCATAAGGAGGTTGTAAAGCATAGCGTCAAAGATACTTTTCACTTTATCGATAAAATAAGAGATTTGAATGTGAATAATAAGTCGATGATATCCCTAGACGTATCATCCCTATTCACAAATGTCCCTCTGATGGAAACAGTGGACTTCATATGTAGCGAACTGGAAAAGAGAAACATAGAAATTGGAATTACGGCATCCACCTTGAAAGAGCTTCTCTTACGATGTACAATGAATGTACACTTTCTCTTCAATAAGGAATTCTATAGACAGTCAGACGGTGTCGCTATGGGGTCACCACTAGGCCCAATCTTAGCGGACTTCTTCTTAGCAAAATTAGAAAATGGCCCTCTGGAAAGCATCATAAGCGGGTTAGAATTTTATTGCCGTTATGTAGATGATACATTCTTGATTGTGAATAATGAGGACGATGCAAGGATCATACTGGATGAATTCAATGGCGTCCATCCAGCAATAACCTTCACTATTGAAACAGAAAATGACGGCAGCATCACCTTCTTAGATGTCCGATTGACAAGGAAGGTGGATGGAACTATAAAAAGAAGTGTGTATCGGAAACCAACGTCAACAGGTCAATACACCCACTTCTTGAGTTTCGTCCCCTTGCAATATAAACGAAATCTCGTTAAATGTTTGGTCCATCGGGCGAGACTCATCTGTTCAGATGATAGTTTTGACGAAGAGCTTCAAATTATCCACGATCTACTCAGTAGTAATGGATATCCAGAAACGTTCCTGGCTAAAAATATGAACACATCCAATATGAAAACCAGAATGCCTACAGTCTCCAAGAAACCATTGTTTCTAAGACTACAATTTCGAGGTGACATCATCAGCGAAATTGTGACACAACGCTTAAGAAATGCCATAAGAAGATCATTTAATGCCGCCAAGTTATGTTGTGTTTTCTACAGCCGGCCGATGATGACCACACGAACTAAAGACAGACTCCCTGACTTCTCCTCTTCTATGTGCATTTACCAGTTCAACTGCTCCTGTGGAGCTAGTTACATTGGACGTACAGTTAGGCAAGTCCGTCGTCGAATCGCCGAGCATCATCCTTCATGGCTAAGTAAGGGGGAAACCAGACTGACACGAAGCTCAATACTCTCTCATCTGATTGACACCGGCCACCGAGTTAACATTCATAATGCCTTTAAAGTTATTTATCACATTCCTTCTCACCTCACCCATCCTCTACGAGTCCGTCTTTTACATACAGCAGAAGCCATAGGAATCCACCTACACAAGCCAAGTCTGTGTGTTCAGAAGAGATTCGTACAGCCTCTTTCTTTGCCTTGGCCATCTGTATAGCTCATTTATTACAACAAGACTCTTCATTTCATCCACCACACAATTCACTATAACTAGTATTTCAATAGCTCCATTATTATTATTATTATTATTATTATTATTATTATTATTATTATTATTATTATTATTATTACAGACTTAATCATCTTTCTCTCCCCCTACTGTCTCTAATTACCGTCAACAATTTACCATTTTACGTAACAGTTCATTTTTGCTCTTTAGTTATCATTATATAAAATATCAATTATGTAAGAACCTGTTCGCAAAATCTTTCTACGATAATTAATCTTTGCTTTAGTTAACTGTCTTAATTACCTGACCAATTATCACCTTCTTGAAATTTTGAGATTGATAACCTTTCACTGAACAACTCTCACCACTAGATTGGTATGTAATTTTACGTTTGAAAATGCTATATTAGTGTAGAGCCATTGATGAGGAACTAATTGAAAAGAAATATTTCTTCGCTCATATTGTTTGTTTTACTAAATGTCTAAATGGGAATTTTTGCATTACTAAGTAGTATATGTTGAGAGGGTGGCAGAAATCATAGGCAGTTACCAACAATGGGTAAATATTCTGCCCAGAAAAATGAAATATACTGTGCAAATAACTGTTTCAGTGGGAAGCGTACAATATTTCATCATTACTGTACAAGATGTCAATAATAAACATTCCTTCTTGAGTCTCAGTCTTGTCGTTTCCTACAGTACTAGGTGTAATCAATTTCATCATGTCAACTATTTTGATGTCTTCGAAATACGATATGATCTTAGCGCTAGGTTCTGGAACATAAATACACTTACCGACGCTTGACAATAGCTGTATTTCTCGACCTGAAGGCGGCATTCGACTCCGTTGATCGAGAAGTGTTATGACAATGTCTCCCACTGAAAGGCGTCCTGAGTAAGTACATTACCTTATTGAAGGTTCTCTACTCGAACACTTGTTGGCGTGTTAGAGCCTATGGTGAGATGTGCAGGGAGTTATGCTCATCGATTGGTGTTTGTCAAGGGTGCTCACTGCCTCCATTCTTATTCAATTTTATCATAGATATTCTTATGGAGGTCTTCCTCTCGTCACGTGATTACACAGACAGAGGTAGACCTAATCACGGGAGAATTTCCGTTAGACCTAGAATATGCAGATGACATGATAGTGTTAGGTGAAGACGCTGAGAAGGTGCAGAGTCTTCTGAAGACTTTGAGTGGTGTCAATTTGAGAATGTTTGGTATGCGTTTCTGACCACCAAAATGGGAACTGTTGCTCGAGTATTGGTCTTCAACGGTGCCCCACCGTGACTAACAATAGAGAGTGTGGACCACTTCACTTCACTGGGAAGTAGGGTCAGTGCTGCCCTAGTGGCTCAGTGGCCGGTGAAATCTGTGCACGGATACAAAGGGTTCGGTTGACTTTTGCTAACTTACGCGATCTGTGGTACCGCCGTGATATCCGATTGTCTATTAAGGGTGGGGTGTACTGCACAGTAGTCCGGTATGTTCTACTGTATGGCTGTGAAAAATGGCCATTGAAGGTGGAGGACATGAGAAGGCTTGAAGTGTTTGACCACCGTTGCGTTCGTAGTATAGGCCGTATTCCGTGGTGTCACCACATGAGATGTAGAGTTTTAGGGAGAAGAGGTAAGTCGGCTGGCGAGGTTATGAACCTTGATCGACTGAGATGGCTGGCTGGGACACGTGTTGTATGTATGCCCAGTCGCCGATTGCCTGGTCACACAATGTTGGCCGAAGTAGGTTCAGGCTGGGAAAAGGCTTGAGGCGGCCAGACTAAAATATGGGATCAATGTATGAAGTGTTTGACTGTTGGTTTGAGGCATGATGGGGCGATGCAGACTAGTTGGTTGGTGTCCGGGGGGTCAAGAGAAACCAGTGGTTGGAGACTCTAGGTGATATGGTTTGGAAGTGATGTCAGTGGCTGAGATGTATACACAGATTATCCTTATCTTAACGATTCTATACCGAATCTCACCACTTTCTCATTCTTCATTTTTCTCTTTTCGTACTTTATATTTCTCTTAACTGAATTTTCTTATCTTCATCTTGGACTTCACTGCCTTTGTACTCGATGTAGTGATATGAGCTGTGGGAACTGGGACCGTTATGTTGTAATGCCTGTTCTTATGTTGATATTGGTGATGATTAACGTGACGTATGGATTGATCTCAAATATTGGGTGCCCTGTTGAAAGTTTAGCTAATAGGGCGGACTTGATGGCAGCTTAGTACACCTGATCCTCAATAAGTAGTCAAACATCACGAAGACAGCGTAAATGGCGTGAGTTGGCAAAGATCGTGCTAGTCTTTTGTATCCGTGCCGAGATTTCGTAGATCGCTGACTCACTAGGGTTCGTCCTACTTCCTATGTAATTGAAGTGGTCACCGCACTCATCTGCTTCACTGCATCTTGTTAAATAAGGCACCAATGGAGACCAGTTTTTGAGCGATAGTTTACATTCGGGTGGTGGGTAACGCATCTCAAACATTCTCAAATTTCCACTCAGAGTGTTCAGAAGACTCTGCATCTTGTCGGCATCTTCGGAGAAGGTTCTAAAGATATTCATCACTTCAGGGTTATGTACTCCATTTGCATTCGTATCCACCGATTTGAAGATAAGTGTTAGACAATCTGTTTTTGCTTTTAAACGACAAATAAAGACCTTGATGACAAAGATTATGAAGACGTACATTCTGAGAGGAAGATTAGATTCTACATATCGTTATAGATATTAACAGGCAATTCGAAGAAAGTTGAGGGTGGTTAAGTATATTTCTGATCGCCATATGTGTGTCAATAGAAAAGACTTACATAAATTTTAAAAGTTAGTCCACTTTCACATAACTTCGATCTAATTACGGTTTATTCTGTATTGACAAGCTCGGGGTTGGAATCCTTTGTATTCTGGTCAATTTGGATTATTTGATAAATAACATGTTTTTTCATCTTTTTACAGTAACTTCTCATTACATTTGGTTTTTAACTAAATTCAAACATCTCACTGGTGTTTTTTATCTATCCTTCAGTTCACTACTCTTGTCTCTGGTGATGTGGCATCTAATATTAGTTTGAGGTAAGTAATGTGCTACTTCCATCTTCCATCTTTTGTAATCAGACTAAAGCCTTACGAAAATTTTACTAATCTGCCGTCACCTTTATTATCCTCTTTTTACAATTGCTATTAGATGATTTCTTAGGTGATTTTTGAACTGCGGCTTGATTTCCAGCTAGTGCTTCGTGGATTCGAATCCAGCTCCACCTGTTGAAGTGAGGCTAATTTCTATATTTCGCGATGATTTTGGCTTGTAAACTGGTTACCAGTTATGATCGACTTTCACCTATTAGCGAAAATCTTGTTTCACAAAGGATTCCATGTGTCTTGTTTCAGAAACGGAGATGTAATCCACTCATCTACGTGTATCAAATCCAAGTTATGAACTTTGACATGAACTGTGAAGACAGTATTTGTGAATTAAAGCTTGTTGTATTCAAATGTCAGCGATTGGCTGAGTTCGTTTACTGTGCAGACAGTGAATATTTACTGGTTTGCTTCATTCATATATAAACATTCCCGACCGATAGCTGTTACCTTGATGGGGTGGTCGGGCGTACACATCACAGTGACCCAACGAGCTATGCTGGTGGAACACTTGTTCCTTCGAGGTCCTACCATACCAGAAAGGTCTGTTGGATAGTGGTTAGACGAAAAGCAGTTACCGTCGTGATGTTAATTACTACACTACGATGGGGTGTCTGAGGGCGAAGTCGTACTGCTGCTGACTGGATGGGGTGTGACAGTAGTAGGGTGTTTCCCTTGGATGACCAGCAGTGACATGGTGATGGTGACTTCTTAGTGTAAGAGGGGGGCGGTTAGAAAAGGTCGGCCGCAAAAATAACACACTGCAACATACCCCAGGGTCTGCCGTCAGGTACCTTAAGAAGAAACAACCTTCCACGGTATGGGCAGCCGGAAAGTGTCAATCGCTTTCACAACTCTGTCAGCACTCAAGTTTCCTCAGACTGCTATCCACCTCCCCGATCATTACCATCTAATCTTGCTTTACGTCTCTCAACTAAGGATACTACATCATCTTCAATTTCTCCTAGCTCTACAGCCTTCGACAACGATGTGAATGCACAGAACAATCACTCTCGAAATTACATGTTGGAGTCTCCGATTTCCACACCCCCCATGAAATTGGTCAACAGGTTTCGTTGGCAAAGACTCTAGCAACTCGGGGCGTAGATATTTGCTGTGTTTGTGAGATTTGGATACATGACCGAAGCTTGGTTATCTATCTGACCTCTCTTGGCCAATCTGGTGAGTCTGCAAAATTCAGCCTTCGAGTTTCTGGAGATTCGATAGCTAGCTCTCGTGGTCTTGCAGGTGTAGGTATAGCGGTGAGCACTAAGGCAGAGAAGTCACTACTGGACTGGATCCCAGTTGGTAGGCGCCTTTTCACTATCCAACTGAACGGCACAAGCAGAACTAAAAGGAGTGGTGAAACTCGTCGTTGTCTCTTTGTAATCTCTGCTTACGCACCCACTGACTGTAGTTCGGAAGAAGTGAAGGACGAGTTCTACCGAAAACTGTCTAGCCTCCTCTTGAAGCCGAACGTTCGGACGTGGTTGTTGTTGGAGGTGACTTGAATGCACAGGTGGGTAGAGTGAGTGAGTCAGAAAGGCACTAAGGTGGGACTTTCGGAGTCTCCGGCTGAACGTACAGATAAAGGTGATCGCCTACTACAATTTTGCTCGGATGACCGGCTATTTTTAGTTAGCACAAATTTCAGACATAAAGAAAGATAGTGTCTGACGTGGCGTCCATGGAGCTCAGCTCAGCTAAGCTCAGCGATGGACACAGATAGACGAGGTTTTGCTATGAGTCATGGCTGGAGAGGATGGGTGAAAGACTGCCTCTCCTTCTGGAGTACATGGTTGGATAGCGACCATGCGTTAGTCCGAGCGCGTATATACCTGCGTCTCAATGGAGATAGGAAAAATATGGGAAGAAAAGCACTAGGAGTGGTGCTGGACAACGAAAACACCAAAGCCGTGTTCAGTGAGAATTTGGCTAGGCAGTTGTCGGAACAGAAGACTATCACTCATCCAGAAGAAGCTTGGTACCATCTGCAATCTGCTGTGAAAGCAGCGTTAAAGACCGTTGCCGACTCCGAAAGAGCAGCGAAAGAAAGCCAGTGGTTATCAGCAGCTTCCGAACTACTGGATGGACGTGAACGCATCCCTGGAGGCTTTGAGTAGAATGAAGTAGGCTGATAAAAAGTCTCTGCAACGACCGCGAACAGTGGTGGGTAACGAAGGCTAAAGAGATGGAGAAGGCAGCGAGGATTGGTAAGACTAGACAGTTATTTAGACTTATTGAGGAAACTGGGTGGAAAAGGTCACCAACAGTTAGTTAGGCTATTTTGGAGAAGTACGGATCTGGGATTCGCTCGCAGAGGAGATGACTGGAACGATAGGCAGAAGACTTCAAGGGAGAGTTTAACTGGCCTTCAGCCACCATTGCGTCGTTGCGCGGTATCCAGTCGGATCGTGAATGGAACATCCAGATAGGTGTCCTAACATTAGGAGAAGTCGAGAAAGCTGTAGGTAACCTGAAAGTTAGAAGGGGAATAGGACCAGATGGACTAACTCCTGAGGTATACAGGTATATACTTAACACAATAGGGGATTAAAATTAAGAAAGATGAGGACAAACAGGAAGTGACCTAGTTGATCCTAATCTTGGTAAGAAAACAAAGTTTACCAAGCAAGGTAGGTGTAGTGTACACGAACAAATTGTTTTTGTACACATAAAGGTGGTTTAAATTTGTGTATAGCTATGGCTTCCGCAAATCTCAGAATACGTCCCTGACTGTTTCTATATAAAACTTTGAAAGCTGTTTGAACATTAACTTTGTGACCTGTTTCTATGATATGTTTAGCTATAGATGAAGAGGGTCGTCTCCCACCAGCGTTTATCACTGTTTCACACTCCATTTGTTTTTGAAGCCATTTAGGCATATGTTCATCCACCCTCAACTGCATAGCTCAATTACTCCTCCCTATGTATGTGTGAACACACACACATGTAAATTGGTAAACACAATGGGATGTGATGTAATCACTGATACAGTGTTTAGGTTTTTGGTGAAGCATTTTTTTTTCTCCACAATGGTAAGATTCGCGGCGTAATAGGTTTTCTGAATGGCTGATGTCAGCCTACGTCTCAAAATGATACTATTTAGCTCCCCTCTGTATGGTAGACTGATATGGACATTTGTCGAAGGTGAACGCTTTCGACAAGTTGACGGTGTAACTATGGGTAGTCCATTAGGACCACTACTAGCTGATATTTATGTCATCGAAAATTTGGCTGGTGATCTCATCGCTAAAGTTCCTCTTTACAAGAGATATGTTGATGACATCATAGTGATTTATGAGACGCATGAGGATATGGCTTGCCTACTAAATGGACTTAACGCCGTACAAACACACATTAGCCTGACTTGTGAGAAGGAGAATAATAATCCACTGCCATTCCTAGATATACTCATCAGTCGACGAGAAGATGGTTCAATAAGACGGTCAGTTTACAGAAAGCCTACATGGGTAGGACAATACCTGAATTTCCACAGTTTTTGTCCAATCCATTAGAAGCGAGGTCTAGTAAAATACCTGTTTAATAGAATCTATCGTATCAGTACACCAGATGCGATGGATGAAGACATCAAATTACTGACTAAAGCAATTATGGAAAATGGATATCGGACGAAGTTTATAAACCGTTATAGAGGTCAAGTAGCACCAAAGCCAACTCTGTACACCATCCTTAAGAAAAATGTCTATATCAGTCTACCATACAGAGGGGAGCTAAATAGTATCATTTTGAGACATAGGCTGACATCAGCCATTCAGAAAACCTATTACGCCGCGAATCTTACCATTGTGGAGAAAAAAAAATGCTTCACCAAAAACCTAAACACTGTATCAGTGATTACATCACATCCCATTGTGTTTACCAATTTACATGTGTGTGTGTTCACACATACATAGGGAGGAGTAATTGAGCTATGCAGTTGAGGGTGGATGAACATATGCCTAAATGGCTTCAAAAACAAATGGAGTGTGAAACAGTGATAAACGCTGGTGGGAGACGACCCTCTTCATCTATAGCTAAACATATCATAGAAACAGGTCACAAAGTTAATGTTCAAACAGCTTTCAAAGTTTTATATAGAAACAGTCAGGGACGTATTCTGAGATTTGCGGAAGCCATAGCTATACACAAATTTAAACCACTTTTATGTGTACAAAAACAATTTGTTCGTGTACACTACACCTACCTTGCTTGGTAAACTTTGTTTTCTTACCAAGATTAGGATCAACTAGGTCACTTCCTGTTTGTCCTCATCTTTCTTAATTTTAATCCCCGATTGTGTTAAGTATAGTTTTTGTCCGCCCCCCACACCGACTCCTCGGATTGTTTCAAATGTACTGCCCAAATACATCACAATGCTCACATAAACTTCATCTTCTAACTACGCCTTCAAAATAGCTGTATTTCTCGACCTGAAGGCGGCATTCGACTCCGTTGATCGAGAAGTGTTATGACAATGTCTCCCACTGAAAGGCGTCCTGAGTAAGTACATTACCTTATTGAAGGTTCTCTACTCGAACACTTGTTGGCGTGTTAGAGCCTATGGTGAGATGTGCAGGGAGTTATGCTCATCGATTGGTGTTTGTCAAGGGTGCTCACTGCCTCCATTCTTATTCAATTTTATCATAGATATTCTTATGGAGGTCTTCCTCTCGTCACGTGATTACACAGACAGAGGTAGACCTAATCACGGGAGAATTTCCGTTAGACCTAGAATATGCAGATGACATGATAGTGTTAGGTGAAGACGCTGAGAAGGTGCAGAGTCTTCTGAAGACTTTGAGTGGTGTCAATTTGAGAATGTTTGGTATGCGTTTCTGACCACCAAAATGGGAACTGTTGCTCGAGTATTGGTCTTCAACGGTGCCCCACCGTGACTAACAATAGAGAGTGTGGACCACTTCACTTCACTGGGAAGTAGGGTCAGTGCTGCCCTAGTGGCTCAGTGGCCGGTGAAATCTGTGCACGGATACAAAAGGTTCGGTTGACTTTTGCTAACTTACGCGATCTGTGGTACCGCCGTGATATCCGATTGTCTATTAAGGGTGGGGTGTACTGCACAGTAGTCCGGTATGTTCTACTGTATGGCTGTGAAAAATGGCCATTGAAGGTGGAGGACATGAGAAGGCTTGAAGTGTTTGACCACCGTTGCGTTCGTAGTATAGGCCGTATTCCGTGGTGTCACCACATGAGATGTAGAGTTTTAGGGAGAAGAGGTAAGTCGGCTGGCGAGGTTATGAACCTTGATCGACTGAGATGGCTGGCTGGGACACGTGTTGTATGTATGCCCAGTCGCCGATTGCCTGGTCACACAATGTTGGCCGAAGTAGGTTCAGGCTGGGAAAAGGCTTGAGGCGGCCAGACTAAAATATGGGATCAATGTATGAAGTGTTTGACTGTTGGTTTGAGGCATGATGGGGCGATGCAGACTAGTTGGTTGGTGTCCGGGGGTCAAGAGAAACCAGTGGTTGGAGACTCTAGGTGATATGGTTTGGAAGTGATGTCAGTGGCTGAGATGTATACACAGATTATCCTTATCTTAACGATGCTATACCGAATCTCACCACTTTCTCATTCTTCATTTTTCTCTTTTCGTACTTTATATTTCTCTTAACTGAATTTTCTTATCTTCATCTTGGACTTCACTGCCTTTGTACTCGATGTAGTGATATGAGCTGTGGGAACTGGGACCGTTCTGTAGTGATGCCAGGTTCCTGTGTTGATTGTTTTGCATTGATGGATGGACGTGTCAAGGTTAGTTATCGTTTTAGCGCTGGGAATCCGTAATCGAATAATAATGTTCATTAGTTTAATAATCGCCTTTTTCACGGTACATGTGTGCTATTTGGTTAAATTCTAACTAGGTGTTATTTCGAGGAATTCGCTCCCTGTTGTGTATTTTCAAAGTAAATGACTGCTGCCTGTGATTTGTTTTAATTATAATGGTTTTAGAAGCGCTAATGTTAAACGGTTAAGTAATGTTACATAAGCGTCTGGTTTGGACTTGGGGATTAATATAAAATCGAATTGAAATATGGTGGTGATATTTTTCAGTCAGCCAGCAGAAAAATCTATAACTCCATACAGTTATCCTTGGTGATATATTTTTGAGCATTAACGTCTTCATTTCCAGCTGGTGTTTTTTGTTTGTCTTGTCCTTAGCTTTAGAAATGACAGTTTGAAAACATTTTTAAAGATGATTTAGTGCATGATACATTTAGAAGACATATTTCCGTATGATAAAGAACAAACAGAGAGGGAAGAAATTATATGGAATACATTTGTTGGAAAATTTTCTTTGATAACGCGTGGTTTAAGCAGGCCGACTGGTCTAGTAATACTAATCTGTCCTCTTTTGCTTCCTACCCTACCGTTGATTGAAAAATGTATTTTACTATACGATAAACATCATGTAGGTGTTGTGTCAAGTAATTACTTATCAGAGCATTCAGCACTAGTACAGAGTAAGTACTACGGGTCAGTTCCTCATGAATGTTTGTTGCTTGCATTGAAACATTAAACCCATATCCGTCGCATATGAAGTGACTACCGTGACTCGATGATCTAGTAGATAACGCTTTGGGATTCCATTTTAGTCTGTTTATTAGAAATATTGTACAGTGAAACAGTAGCATTTACTGGATAACGTTTCCGACACAATTTATTGTCCATATTCATATCAGGTAACTCCACAACTTCGAGACGGTCTTTACCTATTCCTAGTTTTCTCTCCTTCTCTGAGGTGCCTTCCTTGTATGGTAACACAGCAGAGACTTTGAATTCTCTTTTAACCCTGTCGCCTCTGCTGTGTTACCATACAAGGAAGGCACCTCAGAAGCACTACGAAGAATTCTCAATAAGGCCGGGATTAAAGTGGTATTTAAACCAACAAACTCGCTTAGAAACAAGCTTTGTAGGTTAAAAGATCCTATCGATGCAATTGAGCGAAATAATTTGGTTTACCAGATCCCTTGCAATGATTGTGAGGTCAAGTACATAGGTCGAAGCAGTCGACCAGGGTCGATTAGAATAACAGAGCACAAAAACTTAGCTAAATCAAGATCAATAGATACTAATAAGATAAGAAATCTAGAGAAAAACTCGGCTATAGCTCTGCATGCGATGGCACACAATCACACAATAGGGTGAGATAGGGCGGCAGTGTTGAAAACTAAGTTTGTTGGGTGGAGAGAGATTGATAACCAAATCCTTATTTATCGAATCAACACCAAACACATGCAATCGAAATGATTCTGCATCTGTCCCAGATATATACTACCCTTGTCATCACAGAGGAGGAGAGAGAATTAGGAATATATAAAGACTATCTCGAAGTTGTGGAGTTACCTGATATGAATATGGACAATAAATTGTATCGGAAACGTTATCTAGTAAATGCTGCTGTTTCACTGTATGATATTCCTAATAAACAGACTAAAATGGAATTATAATCGACCACAGTACCCAAGTTTTACACTTATATTAATAACGCTTTGGGGTTTCAGGCAATCGGTCCCTGGTTTCGAGTTCTAGTGGGGAACAACATTGCTGACTGGGAAGCAGGTACATTCAACTGACGAGTCTGGAATGGAAAGGAATACGCGTCCTGAATTCCACTGCTAGCCAATATCCATCATAAGTAGTTGAGGATGTTTGTTTTTCAAAGTTGATATTCTGTAAACTGATGATGTTAACTGAGTGCATGGTATGTAGATTCAAGTTAACAAGTTAAGACGAGTAAATGATTTCATTCTGAAGTAGAAGTTTTAGATTAATTAGGAGAATCTTTACGAGTACGGTAGTAAAATAACTATCCTCAGACTATCCTTCAGTTTATATTTGACATTCAAAATAGAAACAAGAACACGTGAATTATTGACTAATATTTTGGTGCGAGATGTGAAACATAATTTCTCTACATTAAATTTGTTGGTCATTGCTCATATAAGTTGTAATAATTCAGTAAACTTCCATTATTCTTTTAACACTGAAGGGAATCTTGACCAGTTTTCTATTCCCTTAGTAACATAACGACCATCATCAACATGAGGCCAGGCATTTTTGCATAACGGTTCAAGGTGCGATGTCACCTCATATCATCACCACATCAAGCAACAAATCAATGAGACGAAAGAAATGAAGAATAATAGGTCAAAAGTAGTGGAAAGTAGTAAAAGAAAGGAAATAGGATTAAGAAAACATTGAACTCGGTATGACAATTAGAATATGGATTCATCTAGACCACTGACGTCGGTTCTGGTTTATGTCAACTACAGTATCTAAGCAGTGATTTCTGTTGGCAGGCGGACCCCAACCGGCTAGTCTGCATCTCACTCCGCGACTCAGACCGACAGCAAAGGCGTCCACATAATGGTGTCATGTTTTAGTATGACCGTCCCTAACCTACTTCAGGTAATATTTTGTGGAGTCAGACGATGACTAACGTGCGTAATACATGTTCGAGGGATCTCACTAGATAGAGGTTCACGATTACATCAACTGCCTTTCCTCTCCTCCCTTAAACTCTACACCTGACTTCTGCGTTTCTCACGTGGTGACGTCACGACATATGACCAATGTTATGAAGGTAACAGTGGTCGAATAACCGAAACCTTCTAATGGTCGTGTTTCACATCTGTAGAGTAGAACAGAGCGAACTGCAGTATAGTACACTCTATATTTAATAGACACTGGGGGCTATAAGTAGCGTAAGTTGATTAATATCAATTGAGCTTTTTATATCCGTGAAGATATTTCTTCGGTCACTGAGCCTCGAAGGATGATATATTAGATAGGGCATCACTGAAAACCAGTCGTAGAACAGAAATCTACACTTGGATGATGAGAAACACTTCTTGGATATACCCTACAAGTACGTCTCTCCGTTTCAGGGATAGACATTTCAGTAAGACGTCTCGATCAACGGAGTCGAGTAATAACATAATAATTCACTGCTTCTGACAGTGTAAGTCTGAATTAACTAAGATGTGTGGTAATATCGACAATGTCAAGTTCACACTTGCTTACATGGTAATTAGTATGGATTTGTTTGACTGGAAAAGCCTTTCACAACTCACTGATGGTGTCAGGAGTGTTTACACTTCAAGAAATGGTTAATTCGGTGTTTTAGGGTTAATAAATTAGGCTGTATATTCAACTTATCCTCTTTATAGATAAATAACAATTATTCTGAAAATGATGCATTAAATAATTTTACAAACTTTCACAAATTCGAATTTCTCATCTGTTCATCGTGGACACGGGCATATCAATCTTTCTGTACACCTTCATTCAGACCGTGTGATTCACTCTTACTGTGTTTATATGAAGTGGCTAGAAGTAGTCATCACTTCGCCATACTGCTCTCCTATTCTAATGGTCATTATACAAATAATACAAAAGATATGGAAAGTATTATTGTTCCAGATCCCATATTAGGTAGGTTGATTTTGTTTCGTATACTATATGCTATGTATTGATTTTAATCTTGATGGTGTCTTGGTATCGTATAAGAACAAAAGCTGCTCTCGAGTGGAAGCTCTCCGATCTGTGATGTTTTCTCATTTTTTTTCGAGCACAGAAAAGCACGTTATACTCAAAAGATTTTGAAATAATGGAAATGATTTGTGGCTTAGGATGAAGAGGATGATGGTAGTGGTTATCAAAGCCCAGAGAACACCAAACCACCATCATCCTCATTCTGAGCTACAAATATTTTCCATCATTTCAAGATCTTACGCTGATATATGTTGCATGAAATCTGCTATTTTGCTGATAGATGCTTAGATATGATCATGTAGACCCACTTGTAAACATTCATCGTTTCAAGCTGCTCTATTGGACAAAACCAAATAAAGGAGAAATACTAAAATGAGGCTAAATAGTAATAAGATCGTGAATGTTACAGGGCGAACAAATAGTTTGTTACGCAAATTGGTGCATTTTCGTGCATAGTTTTACACTTCAGTTACTTTTTGTCAATATCACCTTTGGTTTTCTGTGTAAAGTATCCCTTCACACCGTCAGTAAACTCATAACTTGGTTCCGTACTCTAGCTTTGGTCTCCCTAAGACTATTTCTTCTATCTTGGTGTCAGTGCAGTATGGTTAGGTGTTAGTACCTTGCTTAGTCATACCAGTCAATATTATCATTTCACAGACTCATCGATCCGCTCATCATCCATAACACTGTACACGTTATTTCATCATTGCGAAATTCATTTCAAGTATTTTCACGTTGAAAATGTTCAGATGACTATACATTTTGACGATATTTTCATTTTCCAAAGTTTTATCTTCTTTGTAAGCTGATGTTATCAGAGGATCTCCAAATTGAAAACTGATTTCATGAAACCAAGTATGATCTGCATTTTGAGCGGTGAAAATGACAAACAGAGCTTTCACAAAATATTGAAATATGAATCAGGTGTTATCCATTGTTGATGTTGTCTCATTTTGCACTGATAATCCATTGTATCATTTCTTGTACGAAAACGGAAATTTCGTGGTTGGTCTGTGCATGCAGCGAGCAAATGTAACCTGTTCCTAACACAGGTATTGTAATTTTACACTTAGTTTTTCGTTACCGACCATGAAAAATAGTGGTTATCAGCTGGTTTTAATCACCACCGTGTAGTTTAAAAGAAAGTGGTCAGAAGCGGTAAATATAATTTATGTGCAATTTGAAGTAGAAATGCTATAAAAATTGAAGCTGGGAATGTCTTGGTGATAGATTATAGTTAGGTACAAATGAATCGTGGACTTGATAATTGTGATAGTTTTGTGGCTCACTGATTCATGCCGTTGATTTTCAACCTACGAGACAGGGTTCGAACTCAGCCTCGTGTACCGAGGATTGGACAGTCAGATAGTATTACTAGCCCTTTTACATAAGCTGTTGCTCATTATTTAATGGACGAACGCGCACAATGTTGATGAGTGGGTTTCAGCTTGATTCTGTAGAGTTTCATGTGAAGTGTAAAATGCGTTCTAATCTGTAGTCATACGTTTATGGTTATTGGTATTGATTAACCAAGGGATTACCTGAATGTTATTCACAGAAGGCCACTGATGAAGTTTTGTATATTAAGAAAGCTGTTTGTTACATCAAATCTGTCTACCGCTAGATGTTTTCAATCTGCAACCACAGTTTGACTCATGATTTATTAAATTCGTCTCGCTAAACGGTGGCAAAATACATCCATGATCGACAGCATATCCACGTTTGTCATGATAGAATGGTAACATACAACCTCCTGCTCTTCATGAACATTATCTTTATCAGTTGAACGAGTTATCTTATGCATGCACTGGTTTCCTTTAGTCAACTAGAAGAAGATCAAATATTTGTTTGCTAACTGCTATTTTTTATGTAGAGAATGGATATACGTATAACTTACATGGGGAGATCTGTATTTAATATAGATATATTTCCATATTTCTGGTTATGGTTATCTAAGGGAACCTAACAATAAGTTCATCGGAATAATAATTATTATGCATATATATATATATATATATATATATATATATATATATATATATATAACATTATACATTATTGTATGTCTTTCTCTTTCCTCATCTTTTGTTCGTTTACTCATTAAAACAAGGAGTTTGCATAATAGTAAAGCTATGGTCAAATTATTATATACTCTTTTGTACCAAAGAGTTTTATTTATAACAATTTCACTAGGCTACAGTAGTTTAGTGGTTGACGCTTTGGTGTTTGAGGGGATGGGTACTGGGTTCAAACCTTGGTGGGAATAACATCACTCATTGGGTTGCAGGTGCATCCAGCTGACGAGTCCCAAATGGGACGAAACGCACCTCCTGGATTCTACCACCAGCCATCACCAAAGAAATCACATAATGAATACTCAAGCGACATCAAAACATCTGCATAGCAACCCATATTCCAAAAGAGTTCGGTCCATTCCATCCAGAATAATTACAGGAGATTACAGTTATCATTGAATAATAATTTAGAATTTCGTTACCTTAGAAGTATATGAATTGATACTTATTAGGTAACTATTATTACTGTTCATGCAGCAGCAACAGAATGAACGTAGAACCTCGCACACAGGTGCATCAGCTCAAGTTGCCATACTTCACAGTAGTGTACAAAGAACAGATGGATAGAAAAAGTATGATATCAAAGTAGACATAGTTGTGTTACAGAATAAACAATTTGAAGGTAAAGATTAGTGCGAATATTCAAGCTTTAAAAGATACCAAACTGTAAATATATCTACACCATTGTGACCGGTTTTCAACCATATCACCAATTGTCCTCAACCACTGATTTTTTCTCTGCATCTCAGGGTCCCCACATGACTTACACCGAGAGTCAGGAACTGGTTCCAGGTCTTGGTCTGGCTACCCTGAATTCTCTTTCAACCCAACTCAGCCTTCCCTATCATGGCGCATAGAGGTAGGCGGTGTTCGGACATGCGTAACGCAAGCCAAGCCACCTCAACCGATAAAGGTTCACGACCTCGTCGACCATCGACCTGCCTTTCTTGTCTAGTACCCTTCACTTGACCTCAACATTACCCACGCGGTAACTCCACCGTACACAAGCAATACTACGTAGACACCTATAATAAAAACCCTGCAACCGTCGCATGTCGTCAACTTTTAACAATAATGTCTCACGACCGTGTGGGAAGATAGAGGGGACTGCAGTGAATTATACTCGTCCTTTGATAGATAGTCGAATATCTCGCCAGTTGGCTCCACAGACGACGCAAGTCTGTTCATGACTGAAAGCAGATTGCTTATTTATTTCATTCTGATTAATTGCAGGTGATGTGGTTAAATATTGAAATGAACGGAGTTTATTCTTACGCGTAGATGCAACTCTTCAAACTGTTATTTTATGCGACGTGTCTTTCAGTGATTTCAGAACATTCCTTTCGGACTCGAAATACGCTAATTATTACAACAGCTTTTCTTTCATAATCTACGTCGTTTGGGAATACGTGGTCTCCTGCATTTCAAACCTTTCTCTACATTACTATCACTTACATCAATAAGTTTTAGAAAACAGGGCATGCAAGAAAAATTACAACATGGTCACTAATGGTTTTGCTTTCAAGAGACACTTAATGTGTTCTGAAACCACTGATCTCTTGAAATTCCACTCAGGAAATCATAACACATCAGTCGATGTTAACCCAACTCAACTTACCGCCATCATATGGCTTCATATTAGACACAAACTCTTCACTTCTTCTAAGGTTAGCAAATAGTGTACAATATGAAAGCCACTGTGGCACAACACAACATATGTAGCATAACATATATTGAAGTCATCGAAGCTGGTCTTGCAATATGACATCTTCTGGCGAATTATATTCTACATCGTGTCTGAACATCCACCATCAGATATCGGAATTAATTACTTGATACTGATACTAGATTCAAAAAATCCTGTCGAAACAACAGTAATCAATCACAAAGTCATCACTTGCTCTTGATGTAGAGAGATTAGATTTATTAAAAACAGGGAGTAGAATTAGACTCAAAACACACCGATATTAGTGTTATTTATCATATCTTCAATAGTATCACCAATAACGCAACCATTCACATACACAAACTATTCGATTACTTTTCACGATTAACCACACTGTGTAATACATTGTGTATTGAATTACTATAGTATTTTCATTTCTATATTTTGTTGTTTAAACTTAAGACTATCGAATTTTAAAAGCTGTGAGTACTGAATCTATGGTCGGTTATTTGGATACAACAAATTTCGCACCGCCAGGCAGAGCTGTGCCTGTGCTTACTACTACTACTCTCACTACCACTGCAACCAGTAATAGGACTAGGTCACCAAGTCCTCAGAATTCATCGTCGCCGAATAATTCAACAAAAGGTGTCAATGCTCGTCGACGAAATACAACTTCATCTTTTGGTGGTAATGGACAGTTGAATAACTTTAATCCTGATACGGATTCATTGTGTACACCTTCGATAGAACCGAGAAATTTGTTGGCTGATCTGCTAGAGTATTGTTCAGTTGTTATGCAAGATGTTAAAAGTAAGCAATGATATATTTGAATGTTTATTTTCTACCCTATCAAATAATAACTGGTGATCACAACTTATTTATCAGCTAGTTTTATACTGTCGTTGGAACCTAGTTAAATCATAGTTGGTGGATCCTAATCCGATAAAGAATCCAGAAAAGAAACTTGGCTATAGCTATGCATGGGATTGCATACAGTCACTCAGTAGATTGGGACTGAGTGACACTATTAAAAATTAACCAAGTTGAATAGAAGAGATTGATGATCGAATGTTTGTTATTCGAATCGACACCAAATACATGCAGCAAGCATGTTTGGAAAATCATACTGTCTATATATCACTAAGAAGACAAGAGAATTCCAACTATATAAACCATATCTCAAAGTTATAGAGTTATCTTGATATGACAATAAACGCATAGTCTAGTAAGTAGTGCTGTTTCACTGTGTGATACACCTAATAAAAAGACTAAAGTGGAATTATATTCTCCCGCAGTGGCCATGTTTTACAACTGTACACATGATATGATTATCAATCGGACATTCACATTCATCCTTACTTCATCTCACCACTATATAATGTCGATTCGTTTCTGAACCTCATATGGAATGGAAATTCATGTTAGCTAGTTGAAGGCAATCGTCAGGAAGCTCTTGACCTAAGTTTCATCGGCAAGGGTTTTTTGCACGACCCCGCCTGAAATTCGAACTCACTTCACCCACTGTTGCATTTAGCGATGTTACCAATGAGCTATTCGGGCCACGGTTCACCTCATGTCAGACTAAATTATATACATTGGTTGGCCACTGGAGAGCGACGAATTTCATTTTGTCTAGTCATGAGTACTGACCGAATTCTATTTGTCATATTGCAGTGTGGCCACTAAGCTAGCAGGCATACCATCGCAGTCTACTCTGATAGATGTTAGTTGGTTTAAGGCGATGGGCAAGAAGCTTTGCTTGACCTAGGTTTCATGCTTGCTAGCACTCATCAAGGCGTATCTGGGCAATCTCGAGTAGACTAATATCCCCTGTGAGATTTGAATGAATGTGAAACGGTCTAAATTCAAAGCATTCACTTAGTTTGCTTTTCTGACTAGGCTTCATAAAACATAAATTCTCATGAAACCTGATTTCTGTGTAAAATATAAGCATAATAAACTGCTTATATTGAGGGTTTATTGACAAGATTTTCTGAAAAGCAATAGCATCCTCTTTAAAATCTCTTCATCGGCTTTGTATATACGATTTATGCGGTTAAGTGGATTTATGCATAAATCGTAACGAAAAATGATGATACAGAAAACGTGATCAGCACGAATACTCTTTCTTCATCCTGCTTTATATCTGTAAAATCGAGGAACTTTATCTAGAAATGGATGTAAATGCTGGTGGAAGGTAGTGTGAATACTGCACGCAAAGGTTTTCTTTAAAGATATTGAATGACCGTAGGACTCTGGAATACTGCAGAGAAATAGAAACGACTGTTTAATGTAAATCATTTGTATCGCTAATCATCGGTTTAAGTAAGACCGTAGTAGTACTGCATCTCAGTAACTTATTAAATGTATCATTAAAATAAGCTTCGAACTCTATCATATACCACCTGGTCGTCCATATCGATGCAGGTGAGGTGGTATTTTGAGGCTCTGAATACATTAACTGCCTGATAATCGATTTACAGCTTCATTAATCAGAGGTAACTTTTGACTTTTAGTTGAATAATAGGAGTATGAATTTCAAAAGGACTATGATTTTCCTAGTTGCTGTATGTATATACCCCTTATAAGTTAATATCAGAAAGCGAATAATCGAGTTTAATAACATTCTCGTCAATCTCTTTTCATCACATCATATAAAATATTGTGCTTAATGAGATACGATGCTCTGTCTGTGATGCACTTCTACGAGTAATGAAATGCAGTTTGAGTAGGTTGATACTAAATCCTGCTTCTGAAACACTAATTAATGCAAGTTGGAATCTCCTAGAAAGTTTAAGTTTCTCTATATTTTCAAGAAAGCTAAGTTCAGAGTCTTCTGTCAATCACTATATACCTATACAGGTATAAATAATTTTCTTCGCTTCAGAAGTTCCCAATGTGGCTTAATATGGTTAACATCTTGCATATGACAACACTATTTATCCAGCAAAAATTTACTGTTGTACATTTTGCACACTAGCTACGTTTCTTGGCTTGAATGTGGCATTCGACTCCGTTGATCAGAAGATCTTGTAACAGTCTCTTTCACTAAAAGGGGCGTCGAGGAAAGACGTGACTTTGTTAAAGGCTCTGGATGGTTCTGAAAGGCAGTGGCCTACTTGAATATCTGGGCTACTAAATTTGCCATCTATCATATTGCATCAAATTTTTCCACGGATTTATTCCTTTGAATCGTTCTATTATGTCACCTGATTGCATTCTATATTCACGCATATTTTTAAAAAGCTTATGGCCTTCTGCGATACTACCGTCAAATAAGATGAGGAAAAAGCATCACGACGGACGGTAACGTGCTTTGAAGCGAATAACTTGATCTTAAATGACTCCGCCTGAAATTATAAGCACGAACTACTGGTCAGTGCAGGGAAAAGTTGATTACTTACAATCTCTTTTATCCTCCGATGTGTACCGTAATACAAGATCGATGTAGCTCTACTAAGAAAAGTGGAGGTGGAGTAGCTACCTTCATTTATATCCATTGGTGCATTTTGAGTTACATTTGCTTGAAATTCTCTAATGACTGTATGGCTTGGGTCACTGTAAAATACCGCCCAAAACATTTGGACAAATACCGTTTTAGTCGATAATATGTGTTGATTTCAATTCTTGTGACCAAAGCTTTCTCAACACTCTTGGTCATCAAAACATTGTTAACTTCACAACACGTCAGAATGCAACACTAGACCTGGGACCCGTCAATGATACTGTTATATATGGAACTCGAAAGAGATCCTCTCTGTTCAGCTCTGATCGTGATGTTATACGTGTTTTGTATTATTATTATTAGTCCCTTGGGTTCCTAGTGGAACATAGGGCTTCAGTAGCACGCCTCCAGTGACCTCTGTTCTCTGAGATCTTTTGAACCTGGTCCCACGACAGCCCACAATCTCTCATTTCCTGCTCGCACGACCTCCTCCATGTCACCCTCGGACGTCCAACTCGTCGCTTCCCATGGGGATTCCACTCAGGTGACTGGCCTGACGCGTGATGTCCTCAGTCGACCTTCTCAGTGCATGGCCAATCCATCTCCACTTCTTCCTGCATATTTGTTGCGTGATAGGTTCTTGGTTGGTTCGTTCCCAGAGTTCCTTGTTGCTTATTTTTTCTGGCCATCTCATCTTCAGTAGCGAGCGTAAGCAGTTGTTGATGAATGTCTGTAGTTTATTGGAAATACCTTTCGTGACGCGCCAAGTCTCTGAGCCATACAGAAGCACTGACTTGACTGAGTTGGTGTTGAAAATCCGTATCTTGTTCCGCATGCTGAGTGCAGAAGATCTCCACACTGGTTTCAGGCTAATGAACGCCTGTCTTGCTTTTCCGATTCTGACTTTGACGTCCTCGTCCATCCCGCCTGTAGTTGAAACAGTGCTTCCTAGATAAGTGAAGGAGGTTACTTCCTTCAAGTTTCTCCCGTTGACGGTGATTAGAGTTTGTTGTTGTTGTTGTTGAAGTTGTTGGTGCGGTATCTTCATCACTTCTGTCTTCTCTATATTCACCTGGAGTCCCGTCTTAGCTGCCTCTTCTATCAACTTGTTAGTTTTTGCCTGCAGATCTTCTAGTTTGTGTGACATTAGGCATAAGTCATCGGTGAAATCCAAGTCTTCTAGGTTCTTTTCCGTCGTCCAGTGTATCCCCCTCTTCTTGCTGCCTACTGTTTGCTGTGTGATCCAGTCCACCACAATCAGGAATATCATGGGGGATAGTAGGCAACCTTGTTTCACTCCTGTCTTCACTTCACTTCAAAGGCATCACTGAGCTTCCCATTGTGAATTACTTGGCCGGCATGTGGCATCTTCATATAGTTGTTGAATGAGGCGGATAAAGGTTTGCGGTACTCCGTAGTATTGAAGCAGTTTCCAAATTACTTCTCGGTCGACGCTGTCAAAGGCCTTCTCAAAGTCGATGAAGTTGAGGTATAGAGCTGATTGCCATTCTACGCTCTGTTCTATGATGATACGAAGCGTTGCAATTTGGTCAGCACATGATTTGTACTTCCTGAATCCAGCCAGCCTGCTTGTTCCGGTCGCAGTTTTGAATCCAGTGCGTCTTTAAGCCTCTCTAGGATGATGCGGTTTAATATTTTACTTGGGGTGGACAGGAGAGTGATTCCTCGCCAGTTCTTGCAAGCACTGAGGTCTCCCTTCTTCGGCAGTTTGACAAGGTAACCCTTCTTCCAATCGTCAGGTACCTTCTCTTCCTTCCACACCTTCTGCAATAGTGGTGTGAGCATGTCCGCTGTTGTCTCTGCATCTGTTCTCAGTGCTTCTGGTGGGATTCCATCTGGTCCTGCTGCTTTCCCGCATTTCAGTAGCTTTATGGCGTTCAGGACTTCCATTTTCGTTGGGGGATTAATGTTCACTTGTAGTTCAGCGGCTGTAGGTGGTATTTCTGGACGAAGTGCAGGTGGTGGTGGTGGTCGATTCAAGAGCTTCTTGAAGTGGTCGGCCCATCGTTTCCTCTGTTTCTCTTCTTTTGTAATGAAATTTCCTTCTTCATCTTTTATTGGTTTCATCTGTGTTGGTCTCTTCCCAGATAGCAACCTGGTTATTTGATACAATGTCGTCAGGTCTCTCTTACCAGCATGCAGCCTGTTCTGCTTCCCTTGCCAGTGTTTCGTAGAAGTGTCTTTTGTCGTTGCGTGCACTCTTCTTCACTTCTTTGTCCAGTGTTTTATACATTGTGCTCAGTTCCTCTTGTCGTTGAGCATCAATGCACTGGTTTATCTTCTGCTTCACCATCCTCCTCTCCTCTATCAGCTTCCAGGTATCCGTCGAGATCCATTCCTTGTCTTCTTTCTTCTTCCTTCCTAATACTGTTGTGCAGGTTTCTTTCCACATAGCTTTCAAAGACTTCCAGTGTTTTGCCCAAAATATATGGCAAACTACACAAAACAGCTTTCACATACAAGAAGATTGTACATAGAAACTATTCACTTAGTAACATCTTTAATCCAAGAGAAATAATACAATGTACAGACTAGAATATATTTGATAGCGATGATTTGAATGATACCATTGATGGTGTAACATGCTACCTCAAGTTCTGCTTAGGTATATGTTACCCTAGTGGGAAGCTTTTTCTTCGCTTCGATCGTATATCTTCTAACAGGCTTCAGAAACTAAGAAGAGAAAAATAAAGACCATATAAGGTAAGTGATAATGCTGGTGCTCGTCAATTGAACGTTTTAATTAGGTTGGGAATTAAACATCTGAATCTACTATTCAACCAAAATTTTTTGTCATACAAAGGTTCTTCTAGCATGTGGAAACTTTTTAAAGACCTCACTGGAAGTAAACACCCTAGCAAAGAAGCATATGTCGAGGTCTGTGTCTTGGACAAACCGTTTATAGATAAACCCACTTGTCCCATCTCACTGTGTCTACCTATGTTCAATAAAGAACGTTGTTCAGGGTTCACCACGAAAGATGTTTTCAAATGTCTGAAATCCCTGAACCCTTCGCAAAGTTCGAATCCAGATGGTATGTCAAGCTTCGTATCCACCAAGTGTGCTATTTTATGCCATCCACTAGCTAACATGTTCAATAAATCGTTTCCAGAAAACACCATACCAGTTGCCTGGAAAGATATTAAGATAGTCCCCATACCTAAGTCTAGACTCCAGGCTGATGTACAAAATACCGTCCGATTGCAGTTACCTCTCCGTTCTTAAAAATAGTGGAGAAGCTTGTATTACCTGTGCTCGAGCCCTCACTGAAGGCTTTCGAAGACCCTAATCAATTTGTATATAGAAGCGGAAGAAGCACTTTGGATGCCACCACTCTCTTATATCACGATGGTCCTCCAAGAATGATTTTATGCTTAATTCTTCAAAATGTCAGACCATAAACTTTAGTTTTAAACGTGAACATAACCTGTGTAAACTGCTTAGTTCTGACGATTCCTGTTCTATTGATAGTTGCACATTAGAGAATGTTACAAATGTGATTTGTCTTGGTGTGTGTCTTTCTTCGGACCCTTCCTGGTCTCCCCATATCTCACTAATTTCCAAAAGAATTTTCCACCTAACCTATATTAGGAAGCTGAGAGTATGTGGTATAACTCAGTCTCTCCTCTTGTCTTTTATAAACTCTTGCATCTTGCCTGTTCTCCTTTATTTTTTCCCCGGTTGGTGAAAAAAGACTATGGTTTATTGCATAGAACTTTGAAGACTGTCAGCAGAACCAGTGGTGTACCTCTGAAGCTTCTAGTTAAAACTGTTGTGGACGAACACATTAACTCATGTAAACATCTGGTAGGAATTATTTTATCAGATGACCAGCATCCTCTTCACTTAAAGCTCTCTGCGTGTCGGTCATCTGGAAGGACGAGGAGCAAGTATATAAAACTCTATGCACGTGCTCTACAAAATATAATAACTCTACAATACCATAGGTGTTTAGCTTGTCTGCTGTGTGATGAAGAAAGTATTAGAAATGAACTGACTAATCAACTTCTGTTTTTGAAAGCAAACTAACTGAAGATGAGCGTGTTACTTTTTACAAAGTGAATATTCTTATCTTTTCTTCATGTAATTTCTACTTATTTCATTTCGCTATGTATACATGTACACTATCTCTATCCAATTGATGTTATATGAAGTGCTGAAAATGCTGTAGAGTATTCCCGAAATAGCTTTCAGAATAAAGCCATTATTATTATTATATTATATCATTATTACTCGGACACTGGCGTGTTAGAGCCAGGAGTGAGTTATTATCGTCGAGTGGTGTCCGTCAGGGTTTTATACTCTCTCCATTCTTATTCAATTCTTTTTTGATCTTCTTCTTGTCGTCTTACTTTGCAGAGATTGGTCTTGCCATAGAAGAATCCTAAGTAGAGCTAGATGACGTCGGTTTGCTAGGTGGAGACGCTGACAAGATACGGGATATTTTAGAGAGAATTCTTGGATGCGTTTCTCGGCACTCAAGTTTAAATCGTTTCTCTAAGACTTATCTTCCCTGGTTCCCTGTTTTACGGTGGAGATGAAAACCGTTGACTGCGTTGATTACTTCGCTTGTCGAGAAGTCGGATCAACCGTGGTGAGTCAGTGACCGATGAAACCTCGGCATGGATGCAAAAGGTTCATTTACCGTTATCATCTGAATTCAGTATTTTCTGATTCCTTCTTGTTTTGTTTTACTGCTTTCTATTGCTTTTGACTGATTCTTCTTTATTTTTTTTTCACTTTACACCTTATTGCTTTGCTATATGGGTTGCAGGTATGACGTGTGACATTTATACATTTTCCTACTTTGATTTTGATGATGATTATGATATTTAATACATAATGTTGGCATGTCATTGATTTATAATCACATTTTTCATTCCTAATTCTATTGTTTAGCACCAGAATCACTGAATAGTTGTCATCTTTGCCTCATCATTCTCTGCTGTATTACCCAAGTAAGCACGCGTTTACTATAGAGTTGAACCTTTTTATAGGATTTTTAATATATATATTTTTTAACTGTCAAAAGTGTTAATTATTTTCTTCATTTCAACTTGAATTTTTCTTGGGTGCATTGATTTATTTTAAGGTAATATTTTCGATCCTGAAAAGTTATCCAGAATTCAGTTGTATATATTGCTGATTGTATTATTAGTATTTTTCCCTTGGGTTCCTAGTGGAACATAGGGCTTCAATAGCACACCTCCATTCCACTCTGTTCTCTGCAATCTTTTCAACCTTGCTCCACGACTGCCCACAAGCTCTCATTTCTTCCTGACACTATCTCCATGTCATCCCCGTCTCTGATGCCCAACTCGCCGTTTCCTATCTGGGTTCCACTCGACGACCTGGCCTAGCGTGTGATGGCTGCGAATGGTCTTCTTAGTGCGTGCCCAATCCATCTTCACTTCCTTCTGCATATTTGTTGAGCGATAGGTTCTTGCTTCGTTGGTTCGTTGCCAGTCAGCCAGAGTTCCTTGTTGCTTATTCTTATTATTCTGACCATCTGAGCTTCAGTAACGAGCCAGCGTAGGCAGTTGTTGATGAATATCTGTAGTTTGTTGCTGATTGTTGTTCGAATAAAATTGTGAATAATTTTAACTAGGAACTTGCTGAGAACGATTTTGATCTTCGAAGATAGTTATAATAGCCGGAGACTTCAATAAGCAGGTAGGGAGACTGAATTATGCATAAAAGAATCATGTTGAATATCTTGTATCGATTAGCCGATTACATTTATTTTGTCTTATATGCGAATATGTACGAGAAAAGTATAACTTGTAAGTCTCATCTTTTCGTATGTAAAGACAAGAGAGCCAGATTTGTGTTTACTGGATAAGGTGATATTATTTTCTTCGTGATGTAAATTTCTGTCAGTAGTAAAAAAAGTTAGTAACCTAAACTAACAACTGAAAAAACCATTGAATCTCTACAACTATGCGTAAAAAGAGTGATGCGATAAGACATTTTTACTAGTTGTACTTGTGTAAACTGATGAAGAAATTAAGAAGGCGATGATTTAAAGCAACAGTTCACAGCTGTTTAGGTTTATTAAAGAGATTGATCTGGAAAAGTTGGTAGTTAACGAGAGACTACTGGGCCGAAGGATAAAATTTCCAAATTTTTTGAAAATTTATGTGGTTTAGAGACTGTAGATCATTTCATACTATGAAAGCAGTTTATTTGGCTGATTTCATACAGTATCGGTCTAAACTGTACATTGGTACCGATTTTCCAGCTGTTCTTGAATTAGAAAATAATATTGTAAACCTGAAGTGTAAGGGGGTGATGGAACCAAGTCATCATCAACATGGGATCAGGCATTATTGCATAACGGTTCTAAGTGCCAAATCTCATATCACCACACCAAGCAGCAAATCAATGAGACGGATGAAAAAGATGAAGGAAAATCGGTCAAAAGTAGCGGAAAGTAGTAAAAGAGGAAATAGGATTAAGAAAATACTGAACTCAGGATGGCGATTAGGATGTAGATTCATCTGGACCACTGACATCAGTTATGAGTTATCTCAACTGGACTCCGTAAGCAGTGGTTTCTGTTACCACTTGAACGTTAACCTGGAAGTCTACATGGCTCAAAACAACAGCCAAAGACTTCATGCAATGACGTTATTTAACAAACCAGACGGTAAGTAGTCTTGTTTGCATTGTGTTCTCTGAGCTGAGTAAACAACTCACCTCAGAGAACCTAATACAACCAAAAGCATCCACCTGAGCTACAAATATTCTCCCCCATCTCAAGACGGTAAGTAGGGATATGTAAAACGTGTCAAAGCCAGCTGAGTGGATTAAGGTTCGTAGTGTCATCAACTTACCTTCCTCTCCTCCGTAAAGCCCTAAACGTGACTTCTACACTACTACGGTGGTGTTAGTACCATGGACGATCAATGTTACGGTGGTATCAGGGGTGGGACACTTGAAGCATCTCTCTGTCCTCTACCTTTAGCGGGTAGGTTCCACCACTATGTAGTACAATGGAGTGAACTACAGCTCAGTACTCCTGATCAATAATATTTGATCAAGTGTCATGACATTGGCGAAAGTTATCCGTGCAGAGATTTTGTCAGTTATCGAGTCACCAGTGCTTATCTAACTTTCAAAGTAATTAAAGTCGTCAACGCGCTCATCCATTCCTATTAGGCTGAAAGCAAGTAATAATCTCTGATTAAATAAACTAATTAACAAAAATTCAACTGAAATATCATAATAATTGTGAACTATTCACTGAACAGTAGATATTCCACCAAGGATAATGGGAAGATCAGCAACCAGTCAATTAATTCGTAAGAACGGATAAAAGGCTACTTTCTTGTTCGTAATAACTTCCTTCAAAAAAATGGTGGTTATAGTAGAACTGTTGGTATACTGCAAAAATTTCTTGGATTCATTTTCTTGAATATTTCTCGCGAATCAAGGCCTTAGTACCATGATGACAGTTAAGTCGATTCTCTTTAAAACATCCTCTCATTTTCATAGTTTTTCCGTTTTATAACCGTTGTGATGCATGACAACTGAAACCATTGTACTTTTTTTTACTTGGATGGTTCTACCTTTTTATTTCTACTTGTCTGTGACTATACAGATAAAGAGACACCAATTTCAATCCACTTCTATCTGTGTGTGCTGTATGAAGAGTAGTAACTGAAATCTTTGTACAGTCATGTATTATATCACATGAATCCTTTAAAAATATATTCATCCGATAATAGAAATTCACTTTAAAGGAGTGTCTATTGTTACTCAGTGACGTAGTGGATAACATTGGTCTTTGAAGCGATTGTTCCTGGGTTCAAGTCCTACTGAGGACGATATCAGTTTCTGCGGAGCAGATACATTCAACCGACAAGTCCCAAACAAGATGAAACACGCGTCTTGAATTCCAATTGTATTTGGTTTTTAATTGACTGAATGTCTTATTTCGCAAAAGTCGTATAATGATTTTCAAAAAAGAAATATTATAAATATTAGCATATCATATTATATACTACATTATATAAACGTTTAGCTACAAATACTATAGCCTATTCGAAATCAAAATCTAGACTCACCAATTAGTTTGAATTGAAACATAGACTAAATAATATAGAATTGGAAGAGGGAGAAAAGATGGTCAGTTTTGATATGATGAGCCTTTATACCAATTGATGGTAGGACTTGAGGCAATCAGAAATGAACCCACAACTGATCATAGACTCAGTAATATGACTAACCTTTCTTTTAAGTAAATTATACAAGGGATAAAATTGTGTTCAACTTCAAGTTTCAAGACAAAATATATCAACTAACAGAAGGAGTAGCGATGGGATCTGCAATATCTCTGATCTTAGCAGACATATTTATGAACAGTTGGGGACATATTGTAGCGAAATATACTAGGGTAGACGCTAACCCTAACTTGGTGGTCATGAATCCCGAAAATGCTGGGTTCAACCTCCTAGTGCGATCGTAGGTGCGCACTGATGAGGAGTCTCATACTAGAAAGAAATGGCTATTCAGTGCCTCTCAGGTTTTCAATGGTTATCTAACTAACATCAGTCTGTTATGGAATACCAAGCTGAAATCAACCAAACATTGGATGAATGCAAGAATGGGTTATATATAATATTAGAAATATTTCCCTTTAATTGGTAAACAAGGCTTTGCATGATTTTCATGCTTTATTTTCCCCTTTTTCTCCATCTCATAGAATCAACTAGCATGCTCTCTGCTACATGATATCCAAACTAGTTTCAAAGTGAGAATACATAAGGCTGTAAGTGTTTTCCTATATATTGCTCTACTGATGTGGTATAATTATTCCGGTTTCTACTGTCTTCCTTTGTGTATGCATCTATGAAATTACTCTACTTACTGATCAAGCAACCGGCTGTAACCTAAAACTCACAAATTGTAAATTCAATTTAAGCACTATCAAGTTATTTATTCTGATCTCAAGTATCTAAGTTAAGAATAAGGTGTGGAACTGTGGTTTGGGGATCCATATGCCGAATATTCAAACGTGTAATGACTACCAAATCCTGCTGGAAGTATTTCTATTTTGGTATCAGGTTACTTTACTTAGGCGTAACTGGTAAAGTAGTACAAATTGTTTTGCTTGGTTACTGGGTCTTAAGTTTTTGAAATTATATTCACTGAATAGACCATAAGTGAAAGCTTTGACTAGAAAGCAGTTTGTTGAGAAAACAGAATCATATTTTCCTCTATAGTGGTAATAATCTTAGGGGCTTCACTCTCCTTTTTACTTATTGAGTACAAATTTTAAGAAGCATATCTACTCCTAATCTGATTTATTCATTCAATTAGTAGTTTGTAGGGATTGATTGATTGCTTTGAAATTAGTTTTCATTATAGATTGACACCAGTTGGTAGTAAACTATTAAAAATTAAGGAGCATTGGGCAACTGTTTTGTTCTGTCCAGTAATCAATAAGAAAAAAGAAATCAGAAATCTGAATTATAGTCACAAAACATATCTTGGTAACGGATTTCAGAAAGTCTAAAACCTGATTCCAGCTTATCTTGGACAAATCTGAGTTCACACAATAAACAAAATCAATGTAGAACCTCACACTACAGAGGTGTATCAGCTCAAGCTGCCATACTTCACAACAGCATACAAAGAGTAAGTGGATACAAAAAAACTGGCATTAAAGTAGACAAGTTGTAAGATAAAATAAACGATTCGGTGGTGATAGTTCAACTATTCAACCTTAAGAAGGCATGAAGGAGTGAATACATCTGTGCCATTGTAACTAATTTTCAGTCATGTCGTCAAGAGTCCTTAACCACTGACTCCTATCGTCTCGGGGACCTCAAGTAGTATGCATCTACCCAAACAGTTCAGACCAACAATGAGAGAGTTCGTGAACTGGTTTCACGATTTGGTCTCCCTGTATAATGAACACTTTTAAGTATCTATCAGCCTAGTTTAGTCATTCAGTTTTATATTGACTGAAGTCTCCTGATCTGCTCCGTTTCTCTAGCATAGTAAAACGAGGTAGTATTATAAACTTGGAATCCAACAATCATTGTAAAAATAAGGTTTAATATGATTCTGCTCGAATATTCTGCTGAAGAAACTATCGTATTCACATTGAAATCTTTAGAGAACTTTTGTTTTAATTTTCAAAATACGCTTAGATTATGTTCAAACTTATTTTTATAACTGATTAGAGAACATTCTTCTTGTATTTAGTATACATAATTGTTTTTATATCATACCGTCGTTGATTGGACCGAATTGATCGGTCTCTATTGGCATATGGGATCCTGTGCGAATGCCTCGATATTACCTGTACTCTTATAATAGTAATGATGGATCGTGGCTAGCAGTGGAATCCAGGGTGGGTATTTCATCCTATTTGGGACTCATCAGCTGGATATACCTGCTTCCCAGTGCGTGGTATTGTTCCCGCCGGGATTCGGACTCGGGAGCGATCGCTTCAAACGCCAGAGCGTTGTCTACTACATCACCGAGCCACGATAGCCACTTCTTGTGCAATGGGTGTAGTTTTAAGTATAGCAATATCACTCACCGGGAAGCAGGTACACCCAGCTGACGAGTCCCAAAAATGTCGAAATACGCATCCTGGATTCCACTGCTAGCCACAATCCATCATTACTATCCTTCTTGTATGTAACGGGCGTGTTATTTTGCCAACAATAGCTTCTGCATAAACGATTGACTGAAAAAAACTGTAAATTATTTTTCTTATTTTTAATTTTATAAGCGTTCACGAAAATCTGATCTGAAAAACTATAATGTTTTCACAAGTCGTCCAATTGCCATGGCTATTTTAGGTTAGTGCATTTCCTATTTTGTTGAAAAAAAAAGATTGTTTTCGTCTTTACCGTATTCTTTATTATCCTTAAAATTTACTTTTATATACTGTGGGGTCAAACTTTGACCTGATCGAATTGAATAAGTTGAGCATAGGGTAGATGTATTACGAAGGAAATGTATTTGTAATATACCAAATAAGTTAGAGAAGTAAATTTCTGACGTAAGCGACCTTATGGAAGTGGCTTCTTCAGAGAATAAAACCTGTACAAGTTATCACATGTTTAAATAGTGAATGAAGACAAATCAGCCAACACTGTTTATGCGTGATAATCTTGTGAGAATAAATGTTAGCATTAGAAAATCGTTTTTCATCAGGATTTTACGAATATATTTCCTATGAAAAATACTATTTTTATACTTTGTTTATTGTTCATTCAGTGCCGCAGTCGGGTTCGAATCACAAGTGAGATATCAGTTCCGTTAAGGTTGGCAGATATGCCATTCTGACAAGTGGCAACAAGCACGAAATCTTGATAAAGCAGGGCTGCCTGTTGATTGCCTTTATCCAACTAAAATCTTCCTGAATTTATATTTTATGCTATGTCAGTTGTTCAACCTCATATTTTGTCGATTTAAACTTGCCTAGTCTAACTTCACCAGTTACCACTAATCCACTAACTAAGCTGAACTGGTGAATAATTAGGTTCTTTTCTGTTTCAGTTGACTGTTTTTATTTTTCTCTATTAGTTAACACTGAGAAATAAATATTATTTTTAAAAAAATCCTTTTCATAAATGATTTAAATCTGCTCGTTTCATGTCTACACAAAACGTGGAGATATGATTGATTTACTTGAGCGTTCGTATTTCGGGTAATGAGATCCGATCTCTAACCCAGCTCCGCTTAATTCAGCCTCAGCAACCAGGTAGCATTATTACTTCATAACCGAGTACATAGATTTGTCTCACGATTGATTTACATTACACTGACACGCAGAGTAATTTACTGAATTCGCTGTTGTGTTGTTTCTTCTTTACCATTCATTGATTTAGACTTACTGATAGAATTTGCGCATGGACATTTGATGAAGAAACTTCCACATCGTTTGTATAGGTATGTAAAATCTGCGTCGTATAATTAACTGAAGATTATTGTTTATATAGGTGTACGTAAATGGTTCTGGTTGTAAACACTTATATTTGTTCAAACTGAAAAGTCTTTGCCTTGAATCGCGCGGTTCTTGGTTGCACGCGTACCAGTTAGCTGATGTGAATACAGTGGTGGTCGCGCTTTGCACACCAAATCCACTTTTATTATTATTTTTTCATTTGTGTTCCTTAAGTGTCACAGATCATCAGCAATTGGTAATCGAAGGTTGAAGTTACGAAAACAGTGAAATCAGGCAGCTTCTTAAATGTTTCGGTCGAATTAAACTTTAGTGATGGCCAATCACGATGAAATATGCACTGACCAATCAGAATGAAGTATGTAGAGGACATCGTAATTATTCAGGGGAAAAAATATGATGACTGGGTACCTCGAGGAACAGTTCAGTTAATGTCCAACTCTGCAAACGTTAGATATAACCCTATCTGGTTGGTCCTAATCATTGATCCTCTTGTGATGTCCGTGGGGGAATCAGTCAGACGAAAACAGTGAGTAAGATCCTCACTTCTCTACTCGTTCAACACCTAACTGAAGCTCGAGAGCAGTAAACGTGAGAGAACGAAGCAAGTTTCAGACTTGTTGGTAGAAGTATCGACTAGATCTCCCACAGGTTCTGGAACACTTATTGGTACCCGATAGTAACTGCATTTTTACAAGATACAATATGGTTCCAACGACATCTACTGATCTATGTATTTGGTAACAAATTCCTTGTGTTCTGTTGGAACTGCAATCATATTTAGCTGCAATAGCTTGAGTCAGCGGGCAGAGCGAGATTTAAACTTGTTACCCACTGTATTAAAATTGACTTCTTATCAGAACTAACGAGCCGAAAATATAAAATATTCGATTTAACTGAGACGAAGAGCATCATGTTTTCTGAACAACTGGTTTACAATATGATTGTTACTCATCATCATAGGGAGCAATTTACTTATCCATAACCTTATCCTTAGTTGATATTTTACTCGATGTTTTATTACAAAGTTGGCATTATTTCTCATTGTGATACCCTTAATAACAGGGGATAACTATATACAGTTATTTTTAAGAGACAGATTAAAGGGTTTTTTAAATATCGCAACAAATCCACTGGATCATAGATAGAGAGAGAGAGAGTAAAGATGATTGGAGTGGGGGAAAATAATTTTTCTGGAAAGGCGAAAGCATTCTTGTAGCTGCACATTCTTGAACGTCTTTAGTAGTCAGGTTAGAATGTTCCAGAGGAATTTCCGCTCAAAGATCAAAGTGAATTGCATGACAAGGGAGAGTTACGTAATATATGCAGACATTTAGGATAGTGAAACGGACAAAATATTACGAAACAAAATATAGTTACATGACTACCCAGCCTGGATCACAAAGAGAGAATGGAATTGGATCTTCAACTCTGTGACAGAACGCTAAGTAAGCTCTAGGATATTTAGCTCCTTTTGATAAGTCCTTCAAAATTTTGTACAAAATGCAACCAAGCCACTCGAAAGGAGTGAGGCTAAGATATCTGGGCATTGCCGAAGGATTAGCAATTTGAAAGTCCAAATTATCACTATGCATTCAAACGAAGTATGTACAACCACCTTCTTTCCTGTGGCCATCGTAGGGGATCAATCACTCTAGATAATTCCATCATGATGTAATTATAGTTTGTTTCGTAAGTATTCGTCTATTTCTCTATTTTTAGCACTTGTGTGTGTTGCACAACTTTCCTTTGTTGTACAGTTTATTTTGACCTTTGACCTGAATTACTCTGGCATGTTCTGTTTTTCCTACAACATATTCACGAATGTATAACTAAGAGTATGATTCCACTGGAAAGAGAAATTCCCCCTTGCTGCAATCATCTTTCTTTTTCTATGAGAGATTTTTGTAGTTTAGAAGCAGCATTATGATTTCGTGCACATCATAATAAAGATAATCATACGTTACTCTAATTGCTCAATCAGTAGTATCTTATTGTCGTGTTTCTCTCTCACGTTAATATGTGTTGTGCAATAGGCTTTGCTTAATCATCTGTCAAAATTTGCTATGCTATCAGAGAGCTCATAAAATTCGTTTGGAATTCGATTGGAAGTCACTATGGACAGGTTAGTTGTGTAAACACTGTTTTGTTTGTATATTACACCTATTGGGAAAAAAATGTTTTCACATGTTATTTCATACTTTTATAATGTCAATGTGGATTGTTAAGTTTAAACTTAGTAATTGAACTACCGACTTGGCTACTCTCATCATCTTTGCCGTTGTATTGCATGATTCGAAATACTGGTGAACTGACTATCCAGTGGGCTTTTTTTAAAAACTTATTTACTCCGTTAACAGTGATGTGTGTGAACTGATATGAGCAAATTGTGTTTCACCAATCTGCGATAGCGTTGACTTAAGATGATTTCAACCTTCTTAATGGGCCTTCAGCAGATTTCGCTACGGAGAGCTGTAGCTGTACGATTTAAGTCTTAGTGTGAAGAGCATCATTCACTGAAAGGCAAGTATGTTCAGCTGACGGGTCTCAAATAGGATGAAACGTGTATCCTGGATTCCACTGTTTGGCACAATCCATCAATGGTATTTTGACTGGAAAATTTAGGCATCCACGTAGGAGCTAATAAACTATTTCAGTTCAGTCAACAAAGAAGACTTACAAGCTGGAACTTGAGTGCTGTAAAGCGTTAGTTGATGCGATCGCTTTTCAACGTCTGGGTTATGCGTTTGAACGCTGCTTCGCCTTCTGAGAATTGGGCACCTGTCAAATATTAAGTGTGTAATGACATGCATACGCATATGGGTGTTGGGTAAGTGTTGTTTGACATTTGAAAGGGGTTTCGACAAGTAATTAGGTCCATTAGTAATATTTAAACTACAGTTTGGTTTTGTAATTTTATACACGACTTACCGTTATGGCAAGTTTAACACATTTTACTGTTATGAGTCTATTTGCAATAGCTTTATATTGACAGACTTATTTTACACTCATTTTTGGCAAAATGTTTCAGTTGCTTGTATCAACAATCAACCACTTACTCTGTCGCTGTCTGGTTTCGGTTTGCGTTGATGAATTGAGATTTTCACACCACTTCCTTCATATGTTAATGTTTCTTCATTCAGTGTTTGAAACGAATTGTAGACTCAGCGATTGGATACCGTAGCATAGTGGTCAGCTCTAACATTCTATCTACATACTACTTTTGTTGATGATAGGTGCGAAACTAAGATGTCTAACCCTATCCTATCCAAATTAGAATTGTTTGTCGTATGATCCAATCCTACAGAAGATCATTAGTAACTTCAGTGACTGAGATGTGTAAATCTGGGAAGAACACTGCTTCTTTTTTAGGGTTGCTCTGACAAATCCTACTGATTGATATCGACAAATATAAATATCTTCCCATAGATGGACTCTGAAAATCGAATACCGGTATTGTGTACTACTGGAAGTGTGCAGGCAGTTGGAACTTGCCGGTACCTCACATTATGGAAGTTTATTTTTTAAAATACCAAGACGAGATTTGTGTGACGGTGAAGCCCATGAGACATCTGATTAAAGCCTGTTGCGCACAGCCTCTTTCGGGAAGTCGTTTTGAGGTTTGGTTGTTTTAACCCTGGATAGAAGAAACCCATACCGCCGGCACCGAAAGACTGTGCGGCAGGAAGGAGTTTTCTGTTTCAATGGCCAACGTTTGTTAACCCCCATTTCACTTGAGAAGACAATATCGGTGTGGCCTTACTGTTCATTTATAGGAAACACCTTACGGATGTCATATCCCTGTCCAGTCAGCAGTACAACTTCGCCCTCAGCCCCAAATCATAGCGTGACAGCTTACACTATAATAGTAACTACTTTTTGTTGAATCACTATCCAACAGATTTTTCTGGTATGGTAGGAACTTAAGGGAACAGGTGTTGAAGCCAGAGTAGCTCATTGGGTCATTGTGATATGCAGGCCCGACAACCACCTCAACATAGAAGCTATCGGTCGGGTGCACATCATTCACAAATTGCCCTGATGATCAGTATAGTTAAATTAGCATATTTGAATTGTTAGCTATGTCATCTATCCTTTAGTGACTTGTTCATGTAAATTTGTGCAATACGCTTATAGCTTTGTAAGTGATAAATGTCATTCAAAAAAGTGTTAAGAAAATTTAGTGAAGTGCACCCTTCACTCACTTTCACTTGTGAGGAAGAAAATGCCAGTAAACTTCACTTCTTGGATGTCTTACTAAGCAGAAGAGAAGATGGTTCACTCAGTAGATGTGTTTATAGGAAGACCACATCTATAAGTCAGTATACACATTTTATTAGTCATGTACCAATTCGGTACAAAGCAAACCTGGTCAAAAGCCTCACCGACAGAGCACGAAAAATATGTTCGGATGATCAAGTACTGAAGGAGTTAGATTATATCCGTAATTCATTGCTTGAAATGGGCTATCCTAACAGTTTCATAAAAAGATACATGGACAAAGCCAGGGGGAACAAACCTGGTACCATTATCATACAAAAGAAACCTTTATTTATGAAATTACAATTTAATGGGGATGTGGCCGGAGACGTTTTATGCCAGAGACTCTCTAGAGCCATTAAAAGGACCTTCTACGCCGCATTTGTATTAGCGTAAAGCATGAAGAGGATCTAATTGAAAATAATATTGTTCGCTTATATGTCTTGTTCTAATTTACATGATGGGAATTTTTAAAACTCTGGAATGTCATTCTGTCATATGTATATGGAAAAGTGAAAGCTGAAAGGAAATGGATAACATTATTTGTCGACAGTTAGCTAATGTAACATTGCTTTTACTCCGTTCTGTTTTCCTTTTGCAGTGATTTTAAGCTTACTCAAATTTGTTCTGAACTTAGATGATAACAATCTAGCTCTACCAGATGCTCTCAAGCTAATTGAAAAAGTATGTTTTCCTTTTCTCGTAAAATGGATAATTGTTTCCACGAGATGATGTATATGAATCGATATGAATTCATTTTTTCATTGTTTTTCAATCAACCTGCCAAGTAAATGTCGTTTTTCGCACGCCACTATACTTTCAAATCTAATCCACGATAGGTTTTCAAACGAAACGTCGAAAAAGACCGAAGTGCACTCAACAACTTTGTGCATATTCGTTTAGTAGATGGTGAGCTACAGCTTAGATTGTCACGACTACCTGACTGCACAAATCACCTCTATAGTCAGACTAGTCCTGGAACCCGTGAGCCACTGGTTGAAAATCATCCCCTTAAACCAATGAGCCATGGCTCCAAACAAAGCCTGGACAACCTTCATAATAAATTCATGTATTGAGAAATTATGAATTTTACCAAAGGTTGGATTATGAAAATAGGTGGTTGTTTGATAACCAAATGTTTTGTGAAAAATTAAACATGGGGATTGAAGGTTGGAGATTGACTAGTTTGTTCAAACCTTCATATTATCACACTTAGTTCTTGACCATGTTTATTGTTTACGATTGCATATTGATGTCAGAGGATATAAGTGACACTTAGAGATCAGCGTGCGTATTCCACTTAAAATTGGCGCATAAGAAAACCCAGATAAACAACTCAGTAGTTCGTATCTAATGCCTCTAATGTTAGTTAATGTCTTTCGATTGAAGTTGTGGCTCATTGATTTAGGGTATTGAGTTTCAACCTTCGGATCATGCGTTCGAACATCTGTCCACTTGCGAAGATTTGGAAAGCCCGAGTGTAGTATCAGTAGCCTTCACAAAATACGTAGTGGTTTGTGGCCTACAGAATGAAAGGGGTACAAAGTTGCCTACTGCAATTCGATATATTGGTAACATCCCGTTGATTTATTTTACCAAACTGAATCGATACATAGGTTCGTTCAATAGTTGCCTCGATAATGTCTCAAATTTTATTTTGGTGTTATACGCTTAGCAGTAATCAGTGGAATCCAAAAGATCACTTCTTAACTGCCGACCGTCAACTCGGCCCAGTAATATGATCAACGGAAAATGAAAACCATCAATAAATAGCCAATGATGTCTGTTTCACAAGAGGGTGACCCGGGGGATTCAGTAGACTAATGGATAACATTCTGGCGTTTGAAGCAATAGGTGTTGAATTAAAGTCGAGGTGAGTACGCCATCACTAACTGAGATACAAATACATCTAGCTGATGAGTGTTAAATAAGATGAGACGCGTATACTGCATTGCACTACTAGCTATCAATAAGCAAATAATAACATGAGATGAATGTGTCACCTGAGTTGATTCACTGGGCGATATACTGTTCATCTCCAAGCAGTACATAGATTTTCTTGACTTGAAAATGTGTATGACGGATTAATATTTTTGTTCAAACCCATTCTTACGATTTACTTGTCTCGTTTGTCGTCCGGCATTGACACAGACTGAAGTAGCTGATTTTGATGATGTCGTATAGGCATGTGATCTATTCATCTCATATATCATGCTGTTGTAGAAAGTGGTTTGTTCTCATCTCTTATCAACGGTTGACTGGTGTTACATTCGTTGTTTTGTACACATGTTTTATGTATATATCGTCAACTGAGCTTGTCGTATCTCTCTGTGTAGATAGTTTGGCCAGCGTTCTAGCTTTCACCTCAGTTTTGGTTCTCTATTGGTCCCTTTGATCGAGGCTGAATCTAAAGATCACCTTATCAACAGTTGAAATAACCGGTTAGAAGACTTGTCTATTTTATGACAATCCACCTTTCTAACCGAAATAACGTGCAACTGTGACTCAGTGGTTTAGAAATATCAAACAATGGGTCACGGGTTTGAACCCCGTTTCACCTATTGAGGATTACACAACCAGGTAGTATCACTAGCTCATACAATCGGCGTGACTCGTCGCTTAGTGCCCGGATGTGCACAGGGTTGCAGACTGTTTAAGAAAATGTGTGTAGAACCGAAATGAAGAAACATAATTGGTCGTTTAATTCACAGTTTGGATGAACTTTAGAGTAAATCTACAATTCATGGACGAAAAGAAATACCAAATGCTGTTCCTATGTATTATTGTTCCCCAGAGTTACTATGTTTCAGTCTAGTCTACAGCCAATAGTGTCACACCAGTTGACTCGAAGAGAAGACGAAGAAACATTGTTAGCCCACATACTGCAGACTTATAGTACACATGAAGATATGTAGAAAATTTAGAAGGCCAGTAAAGCGTCAGCAACCTAATCAGTACATCAGTGTAGTAGAGCAAAATTAGACACATGAAAGACATTGGTAATCGATCGGTTGTTGCTCTCATTATTTCGGGCTTCGGTTATAACAGAGAAAACTCGGTTCACATTTCAAGATAAATTAAAACGTATCAAAGTAGTAACCTCATTTCAACCAAGCGATCAGCCAATAAGCAACTTTATAAAACCTCTCTACCAACTACTGAAATGAGCAATAAGGCTTTATTATTTTAGATGGGAGGGTAGTTTTTGTCAAAAATAAGAAAGGGGTGGCATTTTTAGTCGATTCAAAATTTTCGGTGTTAGTTTATTATTTATAATTCCGGAGGATCTCTTTTAGTCTTATTTTTGTTGTTTTTACCAGGCACTTCAAATCTTCAACTTTTTTATTCTTCACGGAGATGGATTCCTTCAATCAGCTGATATATATGACAATTTATATTATGAATTAATACGTATGCATTTGCTTGTTGAAAATCTGTATGAATATTGTAAGTGAATAGTTTTCAACTAATATCGTTTTTTTATATTTCGTTATCTTTGGATTCCTGACAGTCTGATTCAGTGGCATTCATTTCAGTTGCATAAATGCATACAGTAATTTAGGTGATAAGCCTCAAACGAATAAAGTAACGCAGCAAACCCGTGGGTTATATTGAAGAATTGAAGTTCCATATACATAGCTTCAAATGCAATAGGGTTACCCACTGGAGCACGAGTGCCAATTCTCGTGTAATTGGTATCAGTTGTTGTTTGATACTTGCAATCTCCCTTTGCTATACTGGGTTGATATGTTCAACATCTGTTAGTGAGTGTGCTTCTATGCGGATGCCTTGACACCGCTGTGATGGTCCGAAGTATATAATCAGATAGAACATAGTTGGATGAAGATTGACTATGTTTTTAAAGTTTTGAAGACCATGAAGCGTGGAATCGACTGTATTATTGTGATTAATTTTGAGCTATGTTACTGAGATTCTCTAACAGGTTATTTATTTAAGCACCTTGACGACTTCAATCAAACTACTTGCGTTACTGAAAGCAGCAATTAAAAGACAACATGATCTGGACACCATTGTTTCTCTTCCAGCGTAGTGCTTCAGTTGCCAAGGCCTCAGAAACATAGTGATTCAACTTGCATTACACATCTAACACCCACCTTGGCCACTGAAGGTTCATGATGTCATCAACTCACTTGCCTTCGTTACTTATCACTCTGATAACAACATAACCCCCTGTGATTTTCTTATACGCATGTAATTTCAAGACAGCGTTCAACTCCTTCCATCGAGAGGTCTTATGGCAGTGTCTCACTGATACGGGAAATGAATAGGTACACCACTGTTGAAGTTTTTTTACGCGAATACCCGTTAACGTGTTAGGGCTTATGGTTAGTTGTCAGTTATGCTGAGCACATCTATTGAATGTCCACACTTTCCATTCTGGTTCACTCTTGTTAAAGATGTTCTTATAGAGGCATGTTTCTCATCGTTCGACATCAAGGGGGTTGATATAATTACAAGAGGATCTTTGGTAGATCTACAATACTCAGATAGCACAGTCACTTACCTGGGAAGTCGGATTGGCTCTGGTGCATCAGTGATTAAAGAAATGTCTGCAAGGATACAAAAGACTCGACTGGCTTTCGTCAACTTACGCCATCAGTGGCGCCGCCGTGATATCTGATTGTCTCTTCAGGGTCGAGCGTACTGTGCCTCAGTTTGTTTTGTTACGCTGAACGCCTGTGAAGCACGGCCATTAAAGGTTGAGGAGATGAGAAGTTTTCAGGTGTTTGACCAATGTTACCTTCGTAATATAGTCCGTATTTCGTTGTGTCACCAAGTGAGTGACCCAGAAGTCCGGTGTAAATTTTCAGGGAAATTAAGTAATGTGAGTTGATGTGATCGTGAACCTTCATGGAATGAGATGTCTGGGATACGTATTACGCATGCCTAGTCACCGTCTGCCTCATCGCACAATGTTAGCTGCAGTAAGTTCAGGCTGGAAGAAGTTAGGGGTTGGGGAGACTAAAGCATGGCAACATTTCATCACGTCTTCGACCGTTGATTTGAGCCGTGTAGGGAATGCAGACTAGCGGGTTGGCGTCCCCGTGACAACGGAAACTAGTAGTTGGAGGCTCTAGATAATATGACTGAAAATCGGTCTCAGTGGTATAATGCATCCACACATCATTCTCATCCTAATCGTTATAGTGAATTCAGCATTTTCTTATTTCTCCTTCCTGTTTTCTGTCAAATTGGACCGTTGTACAGTTATACCTGGTCCTAATTTGACATTGATTGATTGAAACAGTTGAATTTCTCGCTGACATCAACTCCCATAAAACCCTTCCATGGCCGCATAATTTCTAGTATATAGCCTTGATTGAGATAAGACACTTGCTTGCCACTTTCTTCACGGTTTTGAAATGCTTCAAAAACGATTTGTCGATAGACTGAAATGCCACCTGTATATAATTAAAAAAGGTGAAGCCATTGGATTATCGCAAGTCTTCAACTAGACTTCGTTTCGATACATATCAGATATTGATATATGTGAATAGTGATTCCGTTTTGTGCTTCTATTCACCTTTAATTGCGATTTTCGCAAGTTCATAGCGAATTATTATCGTTATTTCTTTCTTTCTTAACCTTGTCATATAGGTCTTCAACATTCAACGAGTTCTGTTACCGAAGTTAAGGAGATTGCATCTACTGTTGTTCTTCAGTTGAGTACTTTAAGGTAAGTTGTGTGTCCACATTTAACTTTCATTTTGTATTAATCAATGAGTGAATGTAAAGACCACTTTAGTAACTGTTGCAATAACTAATCAGGTTTTCGTATTTCAGCTGGAAACGCAGTTTCTCATAAAATAAAGGAAGTTAATTTGTTATGTCAGCAATTTTTACCATGGTCTCACTCTCAATAGATGTTATTCAGGACAAAACTCCAGTTTATTGTTTACTATTTGTATGTTTACTATAATTGTATATTATTGTATTTCTCTTAGAGCAATTGTCAACCATTTCAATGCAAAGATTTCTGCTTTCTCAACTTTGAATAATGTGACCTCATTGACAGAAAATCAGGTAAGCCTTAGTCTTTTAAAAAAAAGTGATAATAGACTTTTTATAATCAGTCACTATATGGTGTTAGTAATTCTGATTCATTCGATGAAAGTGTTTTGCTTCTTTCGTGAGCACAAATCAGTTCAAGAACCACTACAAAGTAAAGATGTTTGTTTTACCTTAGTGTAGCTCTTTACTTCACTTCAGGAACTTTTCACAATTGAATGCGTGGTCTAAACATCTTTTTCAGACTGATTGATTCTGTGTTTGAGTCTTAGTGGGAATAAAATCACCCACGTGGAGTTATGTACATCCAGCTGACAGGTCCCAAATAGAACGAAAAGCGCGTGAAGCTGAATTTCAACGCTAGCCACTATCCACGTTGCTATATAATTTAAAAAAACGCAGGCAATGTCGAATTATCCGCGCAGGAGCCCATATTCCAATAAGGACCGACCATTTCGGTCTTCTCACCGACAGGATAGTGCATGGAACAAAATATTAACTATACTCATCGCCCAAGAAGTGGCTATCATGATCTAGCGAGAAGCGCTTTGACGTTTGAAGTGATCGGTGGTGTGTTCGAGTCAAAGTGGGAACAACATCACTCACTGCGGGACATGTGCATCCATGTGACGGGATCCAAGTAAGAAGAAACGCGCATCCTGGATCCTGCTGCCGGCCACTATCTATTATATTTTCTGAGATAGACTGTTTAAGTATATCGTGACCAGCTTTTTTCACTGTAGTATAGTTGGAACAGGTCACTTATGTAAAATGATCAAATGTCTCAAGCCAGTACATTATGACTCTTCATCATTTCCAATAGTATCTTCAAGTGATATAACTGTTTAGGTGTTGCACAGAACAACTTGAGTAGTTAGAAACCACTCAGACTGATCTGTAGTATTTCGCCAGCTTTGTCACAGTGATCTAAACACCGGATGGCCATCTAATTACTTTGGTGTTCGTGGAGAAATTCAGCTGATAGCACCGAATCACTTCAGATCATCTGATTCTGGCTAGCTGACTTCTCTGGACCGGTATGCCTAAAATGGGTCGATCAATTTGCAAATGATTTACAAATTCCACGCTGACATTTCTGACATCTTATAAGTAGTGGTGTTAGCGGAGTTTCTGTTGCTAACTGAGTGGCGGAAATCTAGTGAAACTTATCAATTTTACACAGTCAAACAAATAGTCGTTGTCAGTGAACGAAATATACTGCTGAAAAACATGAGTAGATTAGGAAGCACTCATGCTGATCTATAGATTTCTCTAGCTAACTAGATCAGAGTGCTCTAAACACTAGACAACTGTTTTTCTCCTTCGGGACCAAATACATCATCGGTGTACCGGAAAAATCTGACCCCACAGATCCGGAATGTTTAGAGCAACGAAATCTGGCTTGCTAACTTATGTTGGCGTAACTTTTGGAAAGATAACTGGTGAAGAATATCTCTTAGGTGTCATTTTGAACTGAGAATATTTTTTTGTAGTAGCAGTGGTACTAGTGTGTGTGTGTGTGTGTGTGTGTGTGTGTGTGTGTATGTGCGTATACTTCTCAACACATCAAGTAATCAGGTCTAAATATCGGTCTCATACTCAAATTTTTATTCAATTAACGACATGTTTTGATAAAATGTAAGGTCATCAATATATCAGTAACACGTTTCGTTACTCATTCAACGATGTTTGAGTATACTACACTGTAGCATACTACGCTAAATAACTATCTTCTATGTACCACTTATTTTGTTGTAAATTAAATTGACGCAATAAAATTCACTGTCATGTTTCGTAAATTATATTATAATGGTGAAGAGAATAGAAACAATAACTATAGTAATATGAATAATAATGGTAATAAATAATATTAATGATTAGATCCGTTATTCTGATAAGAGAATACATTCAGTGTTGATCACCAATAATCATAGAGATGGATGCTATGGAGTGTAGAATGACTGGAGAATGAAGATATCTATAAATGAATGGTGTTATTCACTTACATATGTGATCACATACAAACACTTCACTATAAAGAGGCGCATGCAGAATTTGTTGATTATCTGATACTATCTTGTTTCCGAAGGTTTTAAGTAGTATCTTCTCATTTGTTGTGATTAATTGAACTGGTTTTCAGCTTTATGCTTTGTGTCTTGTGTTACTTATAACCTAAAGCTTCCTGAGTTCGCTCTCTGCTGAGTGGTTACCTACTACCAAAACTCTGTAATTGCTTCATATCTCCTAGTTTTAATAGTCGTGTCCTACGGCCACATAACAGGTCAATATTCTCGTTCTTCTGTGAACAGTGAGATATGTCACCATTTAATGCCACAGGTGACACATGTTGGCAAATGCCAAACAGCAGGCCTTCGGTATCCCAGATGAGATTACGTCAGCAACCGCCCCATTCGGGCTCATCCAACTGCCCAAAGAAGTAAAGTGGTCGACACATTCCACCACTTCACTCCCTACCACTAAACTGCGAGTAGTTGCAGATCAGTCCAGAAGCATCATTTTACATTTGACAGGTGCTAGCGAAATGCATGCCGACGAAGCATACTCACATTTTTCCCCGACGCTTTCAGAAGACCCTACTTTCTGTTGGCAGGAAAATATCGTCCGCATACTCCGAATCAACCAGATAGTCCCTGGGAAGTCAAACTCACCCATATATGTTGTCATACTTCAGAATTATAAAGCTAATCAACATAGAGCTTTAAATAAATTTCAGAACAAGCAGAAGAGACTTTTTCAAAAATGTGATAAAAAATAAACAGGATAATTTTCGAAGTTAATGGATCCTGCTCTCCGTGCACACTATTTTTTCACTTGTTCTACCTAATTCACCTATTATTAACTTCGTCTATATGCATGAATTCTACATTCTCACTAGTGGTCTAAACTAACACTCACTACTGAGCAATTTTCATCATCACTTCTATGTTTCCATCTTATGAGATTTTTCTGTTTATGATCTGTGCCGTATTCAGCATGTTTAACATGACTTTTGAGTAAATTTATTCTAAACTGGTTCAATAACTTGGTCTAACTGATATACTTCAGTTTTGATGGAAAACAGTGACCTGATTGAACGCAGATGATAGAGAAGACTGAGCGAGTGATATTTTGCAAACACCAGTAATGTCTCATCAGAGTGAGTAACTCTAAAGGCCACTCTAACAGCCACTGAAATAACCAGTCAGTTTTTCTAGGTAGGAAGGTAGTTTTTTAATGAAATAAGTGAACCTGATTGGCCGTTTCAGTAGTTGTCAAGGTGGTCTTTTAATTTTTCTGTCTCATTGCATAATTTTATTTCAACGATGATACAATATTGACTGACCGCGACTGCATCGTATATTCTACCTTTGACAACCGAAGGAAGATTACGTTTTCAGTACAGACCATATCTGACAGACTATCAGCCTGAAGTCTTTGTATATTACTCTTGTATTATAATGGCTCGGGAAAAGGGAAGTAGGAATCTTCACCAAGTATTATCAGCCGTGCTATTCGATTAAGTTTGAAAGATATTTCACTTGAGATGTATATAGTAGTATTCTTGTAAAGCTGAGGTCAAGAGCTGTGTAGTGGCCACTTACTTATTTTCGTACGATTTAGGTACGCTAATTTAGACCAATCATTGTTCGCTATTCCCTTCCCTATCCATTCAATGAGTTACGTCATTTTTGTGAGTTATGGTACGTTGTAGACGTATAAGTTAGTACTACATATATGCATAACTCCAAGCTCGAATAATGAGTTTCTATAAAGGCCACCCTAAACAACTAATGAAGTCACTAATTATAGTTCTGTATTTTATTGAAAAACTACCTTTCCAGTCAAAATTAACTCACCGAATAGGTTATTTCAGTCGTTGCTTGATTGTTCTTGAAAGTCCGCCCGATTAACGAGTTGAACCAGTGTGATATTTTCGCAAAATAAAGAAACTTAATTGGTTATTTCAACAGTCGCTTGGATGACCTTAAGGGTCATCCAAACTGAATAAATAAAAGGATATTAAGTATCAGTCATTGTCTTCTGTTGTGCTAGATAAGGTGAGAGAAAACTGCTGCTTAAAGACAGGAGACTCGATAAGCCACCTTACCAACCAGTAGAGTGACCAATTAGATTTCTGTATTTCATCTGAAAAGACATTTTTCTCCTCAGAAAATGAAAAGCCTAATTGATCATCTCAGTGACTGTTAGAGTGGCCTTTAAACTCCATCGTTAAAGAGTTAAAAATAACTCGTTTTGTGGGTAACTCACATTTATGCAAAAAGCGTATGCAAACACAGTGATTTTCAGAGAGTGAGACATATATGGAAAGCGTTAAAATAATATGGAAGTGTCAGAGTTATGTGTATTTTGCAGTCATCAGTTTAAGCACCTGTAACAACAAGTTCCCATTTAATTTATCGTTACTTGGGTAGTTGCTAGTAGTATGTCAACTCAGATGCAAAGGGTTCGTTTAGCATTTACTAAATAACGATATCTCTGGCACCGGTGAGATATCCGACTACCTATTAAAGGATGAATATCTTGTGCTGCAATCCACTCTGTCTTATTATACGTCTGTGAGGAGACATGACCGCTGAGAAGAGATGCGATGAAGTCATTATGTTATTTCGATCATAAATGTTTTCACGGACATGCTGATGTGTGATGGAATTGCTGTGTGAGCAATGCCGAAGTTAGGTGCAGAGCACTAGACACGGAAGGGAAGCCAGTCGTTGAGGCTGCGAACCTTCACCAATTGAGGTAGGTTGGATGTCAGTTAAGCATGCTGAACCATCGCTTACCCTCACTAGCGACAATAGTCGAAGTGAGATTAGGTTGTAAACTGGCTCAGGATGGCCAGACCGACTGCTGGTGCGATCCGTGTACGTAGATGTAGACTACCTGGTTGGGGTACTTAAGTCGATAGGAGATCCTCGACGACATGTTTGAAAATTGGTCAAAAATGGTGCAGATATATTCACTCCTTGACATCTTCTAAAGCCTGAACATTAACACTTCCCGTCATTTTTAAAGATTTCTTCTCCTCCTGTACACTGTTGTCCGATTTGATATCACTCCTATTCTACCCAATTGTTGAGTGCATGCTGGTTCGAAGTGTGTCAAGTTGTGCTGATGCAGTTCTTTACGGGATCCTACGTTGACTTTGTCTTTTTGTTTGTCAATGTTCTCGTGGGTTATATGAGACCTGGTGACCACTGCTGACTTGCTGACGAACTCCTTACGATGCGTAGTCTGATTTGTAGATTTGGTAGAGGAGTACCAGATATCTTGATGAAATGGTCTTTTTCTCCACACCAAAATAGACTAGTTTTGTTAAGCAATCATACTAGTAATAGTTGACTATCTACTTTTACATCTTAACAGTAGCATATGTTTTAGTTGTTAGGGTTTAATGGCTTATTCTTCTTCGGATACATTTCCTCTTTTAGGTTCTAGAGATTGTCCGAGAGAACTATGATTCACTTACGCTGAGATATCTAGAGAATTTAGACATAGTTGAAGAGTATATGTGTCATGATGATGAAGATTTACTCATGTTTCATAATATTGTAAGTATTTCAATTTTAATTTTGTTATTTTGCCTATGCTGTTCACTCTTTTATTTGGTTTCCCTCAAGAAATTCATGAATCTAACTTCAAAATGCAGTACCAATAGACATGAAACTATATAACTGTATATTCCTTGCCTATTAGTGACATGCTCAGTGAATATGAACATGGCATCTAACACTACTGGGTAGCAGTTCAATCAACTTACCACACCTCACATCAATGGATCAAGATGAAAACAAAATAAAAAAGAAAATGATGAGACCGAAGTCTAAGAAACTCAATTTTTAAGGGAAAATTGGAATTACAGTAAATGACGAAGTTGGACATGACGATTAAGTGAAAGATGCCGTATGGATAAATGTGCACGACTGACATTAATTCTGAGCCATATCACCTACAGTCTTCATTATCTGAATTCTGTTGTCACGTGGACACTAACTGGCTAGCCTGTATACCAACAGTTAAAGTTTTCATTGATGGAAACTATGTTTTAGTCTGGCCACCCTGAGCCTTTTGTAGCCTCAAACTACTTCAGCTAACATTGTACGACGTGGCAGACAGTGATTGGGCATGCGTAACATGTGTCCGAACCATCTTATTCGATGAAGGTTCACAACCTCATTGACTGACTTTTCCTTCCTCGCTAAAACTGTACACCTGACTAGTTCGTTACTCAAATTGTGACAGCACCACACACGGTCTGTACTACAAAGGCAAGGGACCGAGAGAAAATCAGATCAACTATCTTGAATTTAATGTCTCACATAGCATTTTCCTCTTATGTAAGGCTGGTTAGATGGTTTATCATGGTTGTGTGAAATATTTAGTTGAAAAATTGCGAAGTTGTCGTTGTGTTTCCTCGCCTTATTTCATAACTTTATTAACACCGATAGACAATGGCAGACTATTTTTGCGTCATATCATACTGCAGTTTGGTTAAAATTAGTATATGACCAAGGCTTCTCGCGTGTCTTAACTAATGCTCTATGACAGTTGTATGTGATAAAACACTGAGAATTCATTGTCTAAGGGATTGATTATCCAGAGTAGTTTTATCATTGATTGACAGTTGGTGGAGAACTGTTCAACATATCGAAATACTGCACAACTTGTGTATTTACGCGTCGTCGATTGAACCGAATTGATTGGTTGCTGCTGGCATATGCGATCCTGTATGGATTGCTCGATATCGCTTGTGTTTGAATTATATAATAGTAATAGATATTGACCAGCAGTGGAATCGAGGATGCGGGTTTTGTCTTATTTGGGACTCATTAGGTGGATAGACCTGCCTGCCAGTGGGCGTTGTTGTTCCCACTAGGACTCGAACTCGACACCGATCACTTCAAATGCCATTGTATTATCCACTAGGTACACTGCTAGACACTATCCATGAATGATATGAAGTTTTAAAAGTACTGGCGTTATCGGAGCATGTGCACACAAGCCCATATGTCAATAGTTGCCGATCAGTTCGGTACAATTGACGACGGAGATTCACAACAAAGACTACAGTGTGCCAATCGTACAAGGAAGGGGTTGTCGCTACTCATTGGCCTCATGGATAACACTCTGACATTTGAGGCGATTATTCCTGGATTCCAGATCCTAGTGGAAGCAACGGCAGCCACTGAGAGGCATATGCATAGAGCTGGCGAGTCCCTAATATGATGGAATGCGCATCCTAGATTCCTTTGCTAGTCAAAACGTGTGTGTCTGTTTTCTGTTTATAATCTGAAATTTGTATATTCGTTTCATGCACATTCCTTTTTGTTGATACACAGGTTGAATCAATCACTAAACAGATACGTAAAGATTGTCTTGACTTAAGCTTGCAAATTCAGAATCGCCTGCATGAATTATCTTCAATACCTTGACCAAACATTTCAATGAGGCGGGCTAGTAAACAATATTCCCATGAATTGTGGTACATTTTAACAAGATTATGAGTCGTAATTTGGTTTTCTTTTTTCTATTTTTTCACTTCTCTTTCCGTCACTTCATAACTGTTTCCTTCTGGAAAACACTAAAAAAAGCTTAGTTTTCAAGTTATTATACGTATCTGCATATCAGTTTGCGTGCAGACATTGTTGCCTTAATCTGATTGAAGCGCAAGCTCTTTCACTGTGTAAATACACTCCACTTCGTTTGTATATTTTCTTACAAGTGTTTATGATAAATGAAGAATCATCTTTGACAGTGAGTATTGTTGTCACAGCAAACTTGTCTTTCCATTTCATCTCTGCGCACATCAGTGATAGTCTCCTCTACTTTATTCCACTTGTTCCTGTTTCTTCTTATCTAATTCTCATTTGTTCAGTTTTTGAAACTTACAACTTAGACAATGGTTACATTGAATAAATCGTTCAGTGACATTCTTTTGTTTTCTAACTACATTGTGCCATCACAAATTCATCGAGACCACTTGACGTCTCGTCATATTTGGTACAATAAACAGCACTGTACTTTCTTGTCTTCGGAAGTGATCATATTCCGAGTAGTGTGAATCGTTTTTAAAAAATGTTTTGTCCTGATAATTTTTGATCAGCTTTTTGGATTTGCAGTAATTTCGTGTTAGCGCAGTTTCCAACTTCGAATTATATATAGAGGCGGTTTGAATCAAGAAATTGTAAGCGAATCACATTCGAGGTTGATAGATGAATCAGTTTGTTAACCGCGTTTACTTGCACAGCATCGTTATTGAAAAGAGAGTAGATGAGAAGTGCACATCTTGTATTGGGTCTTCCAAAACAACGAGCTCATTATGTTGGATCGCATGGAATGGATGCATTAGAAATAGTGAAACGCGCTGTTCAATTTTTTATTGGTGTATCCCAACACACCTGAATGCATTTCGTACTGCCAACATCTCTTCTAGCATCAAGATCGTGGTATAACCGGTTGGTAGACAACCCAATTCATAATTGTCAAGAATATGTATCATGTTGTGTAATCTGGTAATAAATTGGAGCTTGAAAATTTATTCCATGAATTTTTTTCCTGCTGAACAACACTTATCTTGAGCACGAACATGTGTAGGGTATTCAGTCATCTCATTGAATAATCGCTGCTGTTCTATGTTTGGGAAGAAAGAAGGTTCCAATTGCAATTGAGCACTGTTTCATTTCATAATACTACTGGCATTATCTTAACACTAGATGCAAATCATTGTTGAATGATGTTCATCCCCTCTCATTACGATATTCCAGTAGATCATATTGTTGTTACTTGTGATTTCCTGTCGATGTTTGGAGCAAATGAATCGGTCTCTATGGTTTTAGTGGTTGATACCTTGATATTGCCTGTATCTTCAGTTTGATTTTAGTAATGGATAGCACTGGAATCGAGGATGTGCCTTTTGTCCATGAATGCTATCTATCATACTTAAATTACGGGCAATATTGAGGGGTCCGGATAGGGGCTCATAGTCTGATGCAGACCAATCCATTCGGTCAAATTAACAACCAGGAATTCAAAACATAAGCATAAGCTAACCGTTTGGCATTTGAAGCGATATTTCCTTAGCTATAATCGTAGTGGGGAAGGCCACTCAATCAACAGTGACATTGGATGAAAGTTACGCTGTATCATGAACTGACACAAGTAGGTTTCTATGGACCACTGGGCATTAACTCAGTGGTAACCTTCTGATCATGAAACGGGAAGGTTTTAGGTTCGATCTCTGACAGGGTCAGGAGTGTGTGCTGGTGAGAAGTCCCATATTAGAATGAAAGGGCTTCCAGTTTTTTAATTGTTCTCCACCTGATTTCAACCCCTTATGGAGACCAACTTAATTTAAACGAATCAGGTATAATCTGATTACAATGACTTTAGTGTTGCAACCCTTAGCTTAGAGGAAGACCGGAAAAAATATGTTAACGCCTTTCCTACTTGTTCTTGTTTACCCTACCGAATATTACCTTTGCATGCTCTTTTTACATCTTCCGTTTTATACTACTTACTGTTTTTGAGTAGTATAGATCAGGTTGCCTTATAATGTTGCTTTAACCACAATATTTACTGTTCATTCTGTTGAATCATATCTCGTTCACAACTAAACATCCCTAGATATCAGTATCATCCACAAGTCATGATGGTGTTTTAATGTATGTCGTTGTACCCTGATGTCCTATTTTATTCAGAAGCATTATTCCAATCCTTTCATGTGACGTAAAATTTAGAGATATTTCATTACTAATACATACCAACTGCTTCCATAATTTCGACCTTATTCTCTAATTATTAGTTAAATTAGTGCTCAAAGCATTTAAAGTCATAGACACAAAGAAACAACGTAGGACATCCCATACAAGTACATTGGCCCAAGTTACTACACTTCATAATAGTATACAAAGAATAGGTGCGTAGCACAAGAGTGAGGCAAAAGTAGGCAAAGTTATATGAAGAAAGAAACAATTTGAAGACAATAGTTAGTAAAACTATACAAGGTTTAGAAGATATCAAGGAATAAACACGATTTCACCATAGTGACTGATTTTCGACCATATCAACAACAATCACGAAACACTGATCCCATCTCATGGACCCCAGCGAAGTAATTTACATCTCTTCACACAGCTCAGACAAACAGCTCAGGAATTCATGAACTGGTACCATGTCTTGGTCTGACCACACTCAACCTTATTCCATTCTATGATTTCCCGTAGCATAGCACTCCGAGGTTGGTGGTGGCTCGGCATGCGCAGTCGATGACGGTTCATAGACTCATCAACCAACTTGCCTGCCTTGCATAGTACCCTTCACCTGACTTCAACATTTCTCACACGCTGACTCCACCGCTGTGTTATTACATTACATTATTGATAGCTAATTTTCATTGTTTGTAGTGTAAGTCCTTTACATAATGGTTGGTTATCATTTGAATGATCTCTTTTTCAATTTCGCCTAGTTTATTTTAATCATTGTTCGTATGTTCACCTTTGTCTGTCCTTCAAGTGATGGAAAACTCATTGGTAAATCTGATTGACTCGAAGTGATCAGATTAGGTTTACCGCTTCAACAGTAAATAAAATAAAGCAAGCTGTATTTCGAATAACCCAAGCCTGATGTCGTTAGTACAACAGCTCTAACATGTAGTTGCAAGTCTCTTTACAAATTCTAGATCAAAAGGTGGATTGTTCAAGTCAATCATTTATCTCAGTTGTAATAGTCAGACTGTTCACAGTAATTTAATGTGGATACAAAACGCATCGATGGCACTTATCAGTTTTCACCACTTGCGATATCAACGTATTTTACATCGCAAGAACTCCGTACAATTCGCAACACCTACCGATGCTCTAAGTAGTACTTTCCAGGTTCTAGATAAAGTCTCCGAAGCTAAGGGCTGTATGAATTATAACTTATCAGTTTCACTCAAATCTAATGAAATCAAGAATTCATAAGAGGTTAATTATGAATTTTTGGAGAAGTGAGTGAGTCTATCAGGCTGTAGACCAGTATGAAACGGGTTTTGTGAGAGCGGTGTAAGTAAGTGAAGGGTAGTGGGCAAGACAGGTAGGTCGATTGATGAGATTATGAAACTTCACTGACTCAGATGTCTTGGACGTGTACTGTGTGCCGAGCCATCGCCTACCTGGATATACAATGTTTGTGCACGTTGGATTATATTAGAAGAGGTTAGAATCAGACATTGCGCCATTGAATGAAGCCTTTGACTTGGTCGGAGCCATGTTTAGAGATATAGACTACCTGGTTGGAGTTCCACAGATGAAGGGTATCAGTGGTTGGGGAATCTTGGTGAAATGGTCGAAAATCAGTCACAATGACACAAATGTATTCACTCCTTCACATCTTCTAGATCTTGTTTATCTACACTAACCGTCATCTTCAGATTTTTCATTTTCTCACACAACTTTGTCTACTTTGATATCAGTTGTTTTCTATCCACTTATTCTTTGCATACGATTTTCAAGTGTGGCAACTTGAGCCAATCCACTCTTGTGTGGAGTTCTACTTTGATTTAGTGTGTCACTCAGTCAGTAAGGTTTTCTGATTCGAATGCTGCCATGGTGCAAATTTCCACTTCACCTTCTTTCATCACCCTGTATCAATAGAAAGAAGTCTGCCAAATCACAGCTATCTCTGCTGGTTCGACTGACATGTTAGAACAAGACATTGAAGCGAAGAATATTGCTTTCATTTAGATCCTCTTCAGGCATTACTCTAATAGACAACTAAATAAATGTCGAAATTAAACCATTCATGTAGATTTGTTGGTCAGTGATTAGTGTGTTTTAAAGAAACGATGGTGATAATAATACAAATAATAATAATAATTCTAATGTTGGGAGTCATAATGATAGTGTTGACTAAAGCAGTTGCAATACACACGATAGTGGTGACAAGGACCAAGACTACAGATTGAGAATGTAGACACTCTGATAATCAAAGTGGATCAGAGGCTTGGTTGGAAGGATAACGTATGAAGTAAGTGAATAAATAAAGTCTAAACAAATATATATATTAAGTATATGAAGGGGTGAAGAGTAAAATTGCAATGATAAAGCGGTTTACTAAGTATTCCCTGGTCAAGGGAAAGATAGAAGATGCACAAACTTCTGGATACAGAGACCAAGAATACTAGCTGAAATTCCCACAGCCTTAGCTATATGTAATCGACGAGTTGTAGTACTTTCCGACAGATAAGTTGATATAAGTAGTCTTGAAAGCATTGTTCTTACTGCCCACTAACTTAGTGAGATGGATAATCTAATCTTTGATCATCGAATCAACACCTCAAATATACATCGAACAGGAATGACTCACACCTGTCTCAGACGTATGGAAAATCCTACTGTCTACATCACAAAGGAGGTGAGAGAATTAACCTTCATAAAACATGTCTTAAAGTTGTGGAATTATATTGATACGACAATGGATAATAAATTGTGTTCAAAACGCGTAACCAGTAAATAATACTGTTCCATTGTGTGATACATCTAAATAAGCAGCTAACGAATAACTTCTGAAGTGCTCTTATCACCTTTACTTTATTCCTCGAAGGAAATAATTGAGTTTATCTGTAATTTTAAATAGATTGAAACAATAACAGCTATCCACTTATTCAAAAGCAAATATACAACAAGTTTATGATCAGTTCTCATGTTCAATCCACAATATAATGTATATTTACATTGTCAGCAACGTTTGAGCAGATGCATGTGGCTGAAATGCTTCTCATTTTCAGTATACGTTTCTTCATTTTGACAGTTTTTATTCCGTAGTGACTTTTTGTTTGCCTTCTTTCAGATTGTTTTTAGTTCCATATTGAAATTCTTCCTCTGGAAAGAAATTTTTAAGCTGTTTGCTTTCCTTTGATTTTCGTTACAACTTGTACCCACACTTAAGTAAAACAACCTAAAGGAGAAAAGAAGAAAATTATTTAATGCTCGTTTTTAGAAGACAGGCTATCAACGCAACGTCATCAAAACCTGTTTATCTAACTCACTATTAACCAGAAAGTCATCCATTTTAACCAGGAAACGCTTTATATTACCTTTCATGAAGAATGTAACCGAGGTCACAATTACATTAGTAAAGTATTTTGTAATCACTGTCGTTTAAAATCCTACAAAATCTCTTCATTCTCTGTTATTCATTTCAAAAGATGCATCATAAAATGAAGACGGACTAAACGTTAACTATGAAAATAAAATAAACTTCAGAAGTTGCGAAAAACGTATCACTTTGGACAGAGTGATCGCCCTTCTTCCCATCTGTTTATACGAACACTAGCTAGCAGTGAAATACCACAACTTACATTCTGTGACATCGACACATATAAACAGTTGTGGACATGAATTCAACTTTGGAAATCGTTAATCGGGGAAATACAGAGGGTGTTAGTCCCTTTTTAAAACTTTGGGATTCAGGTCAGCCAGCGAACAATAGACATTGACATTGACACAGCCTATCAACCTATAAGAAAAACAAGAAACAAAAGTGAATCTAAGTTCACATCGACAAGACAAACAATCGAATTCGTTTGGAGGCAATGACAAGATTTTTTGCTGAAACCAACAATCACACACAAGGTCATTACGACAAG